GATAGCCAATGACCTGTTTCAATTATCATGATTTCCTGCAAAATTCGTCAACTCACGGACAAACTCGCATCACAGGGTTTTAAAAGAGGCCGTTTGATGGAAATAATGAATCCGTTTTACGCTCGTCATAATCATCGTATCGAGAAAACCATATTGGTGTGATATGAAGCTGGGCGTGTTTAATACTCGTTAGTTTGCCTATTGTTTCTCAATATCAGCAGTCTGGGTCTTTTGGTTTTTAAGATGTCGATTAAACATTTCAACATATTTGACACATGACTTTTGACAAGAGGCTCAATGGGCCTGCAAGAGCTCATCTGGAATATATTCATACATATATCAGCCAAATGTCATGCCTCTAGGTCAATTTAGTTCATGAGAAGTCTTTGACATATTTGACACCTGTGACCTTAAAAGTGGGTCAATGTCAACAATATGAACTTAAAAGTTGGTCAAGGCAAATAATATGAACGAACTTGGTAGCAACTTCATCCCTGCATGTTACAGGCTTAATATCAGGATCCTGGGCCTTTTGTTTATTGAGACGATGTTTAAAATTTTAACACATATGACACTTGCTTGAAAGTGGGTCAAGTCATTCATCTTAACAAACATTGCAGACCTTCAACAAACCATACATCAGCACCTTGGACTTTTCGGTTATTGACAAGAAGTAAATTATACATTTCAATATATTTAACAAAAATGATATTGTAAATTGGTCAAGGTCAGTAATATGAACAGAATTGGTAGCCCTTCTCCCCACCATGTTACAGATCAAATATCAGCTCTTTGGGCCTTTTGGTTATTGAAAAGATTTCATGTAAAGAGTTTGATACTTGTGATCTTGAAAGTGGGTCAAGGTCATTCATCTTAACAAACATTGCAACCCTTCGTCCTAGCAATATCAGCACCCTGCATCTTTTGGTTATTGAGGAGTCTTTTTATCATTTTAATGTTTGACACCTATAATCTTGAACGTAGGTCAAGGTCAATAATATGAACAAGAGAACCATTTGACAATCAACGAATGGATGGACAAACCACAGAATTTGCTTGTGGTCTGACGAATCTAATGAATTTAAATTTTGAACATTCCTTAAAAGTATCAGATACTAATAAATTGTAGGTAATATTCATAAAAACCAGTTGAAGTTTTGATCAGATTGAAAAATAACAAATGATCAATTTCTTTTCCTAAACAAGGGGGCCATGACCCTTTATTGTCATCTGACAAATTCCTAGAATGATATTTCAGATATGTGGTCTAAATCCCTTCAAGCATTAAAGGGAGGGAAGCGTTTTGAAGCAATATCATTGACTAATTTTCCCATTTGGGTTTGAATCAACTTTTTGAATTAAGAATGTATAACTTATGTGCAAGGATGTTTCAGATCAAATTTGGTTGAAATCACCCAGGTTCGCCCCAAAGTCTTTACTGGTCAAATCAACTTTCTGAATAGAAATTATTCTCCACCCACAACGATGTTTTATTCCACGTTTGGTTTAAATCCATTGAAGCCTTAAGGGAGAGTAGCATTTGAAGCAAAATTATAGACTAATTTTACCATTTTGAGCTCAGTACAAGGTCTCTAGGGGTCAAATCAACCTCCAAAAATCTACACTGGCATTAAGAAGGAAGAGCCTTTTGAAGCAAAAAATTGTCTAACTTCCTCATTTAGTGACCATTCCCAAGTCTCTCGGGTCGAATCAACTTTCTGAATTTAAGAAATTATCTCCCGCCCAAACTGATATTTCAAACCAAATTTGGTTATAATCAACCCTCATGTTAAGTAGTAGTATTTCGAAAGAAAAGTTTACAAATGGCGGAAGGCAGTTGAGGCATGAAAACATTAGTACTTCTTGACCCATTGAATCAGATGACTGAGCAAATCAAACTACAAGTATTTTATCATTGTTAGGAATGAGACTTGAGAAGTAGTTCAGACTATCTGTTGTAAATGAGTTGTGTTGATTTGGGACCACAGCTAAAAAATAAGGTTTGGTCAGGACAATCTCATGATCACTTCATGCATATTTGATGTCACTGCCTCTCCCTGATAATGTTTCAGGCTAAATGTGGATGAAATTTAAAGAGGAATTAAGAAGGAGCAGTGTTTTGGAGCAAAATATTGTTGTTCTTCCTATTTTGGAGCAGCGCTTTCAAACAAAATATTGCCCAATTTACCTTTTTGACGCCCTGCCCTCAAGTCCCTATGGGCTGAGTCAAATTTCTGAATTTAAGAATTATATGACAACCTGTACTGATGTTACAGATAAAATTTGAATAAAATCAATTCAAGCATTAAGGAAGAGTAGCATTATCTAACTACCATTTTGGGGCCCCATCCCAAGGTCCCGAGGGGTCAAACCAAATTTCTGAATTTAAGAAATGATCCCCCACACTCAATGATGTTTCAGATCATATCTGGTTGAAATCTAACAAGGCGTTAAGCAGGAGTAGTATTTTAAAGGAAACGTTTATGAATGGCAAACAGTGCAAACGGTGCACAATGACAGATGATACACGATGGCTATGGGCCATCTTGACCCTTGGGGTCAGATGACCTGAAAAGTTAGTCATCATGCCCAGGACTGCAACAGTTTTAAGTCATCCAGCTCAGACCTGCTACATCAAAGTCAAGTCAACTAACCAAGAACTGCTACAGCTCAAATCAAAGTCAAGTACTCTATGTATTTGAAGATAAATCATACCTACAGCTATGCAGGTTTTACACATAATAAAAACAAACTCAATCACTTTGCCACAAAGTATAATTAAAAAACACCGGTAGGATTGATGGAATAAAATAAGATGCAAAGATTATGGCACTAGCCAAATCAAAACTTTATACAATATACAATCAAAAGCACTCAGACAATGTGCATCATTCAATTCGGAAACTCACCACTCTCATTCACTCTCAATCTACATTTGTCGAATATCACAAACAAGAGAACCTCCCAGGGTCTTGGCACTCACCAAGATCTCATTTGAACTTTACGAGGTCAATTCAATAAGCTGTTGTTAAACTGAAATAAACAATGAATTAATTATGAGGTAACATGTAACATTTTTCAGCATTAAAAATTGTCTTTTCAAAGTCAGAATATTATTCAACCTATTCAATTAAATAATAAGGGGTGAATAGAAATAAAGTATTTTACTTCTAAAACCTTTTAAAATATCAGGAAATTTTAACTTCTGTATAATTTATATATAACCTAAACACAGCTAGAAACCAAAGAGAAATTTGAGAAAGATCCATTTAGAGATACTTTAGAATAGATTATCTGGAGGGCTATACAGACAATTGACTTCTCTTATGATGCAGACCATGGAGAAAGGCTGATTTGTAAGGTATTCTAGTACAGTACTGATTATGATAAATCTATTTTATGGCACATGCATGTATTGTAAAGTTACACATTCCAACTAGGTTAATGTGTCACTTAATATCACTAATTCATTGTGAAATACATTTAAAATGTAATATTTTTCTGCATTTCATAAACAAAAGAAAACACTTGGGGTAGGAAGAAAAAGAAGCAAAACTGGTTGTTCATCCAATTTATATCAAATGTATTAATTATCATTTAAATTAAACCCTTCTGATAATTCATAAATAAAGTAAGTCAAAACATTGAATCACAAATGTATAATACTGCATTTGAAAAAATCTGAAAACTCTTTTTTTTTAGGCAAAGCATAAATATTACTGATTTTGTAGACTGACTTTCTTTTGACCAATTGATTATGGTAAACTATGCCTCATGGCAACAACTGAGGGAAGTGGGGGGTGGGGGCGGGGGGGCAAGAGAGGGAAGGGATCAAAGAACAAACTAATTTTTTCATTCAAAGCCCAGCTCCCAGGTCCCTAGGGGTTGAATCAACTTTCTGAATTGAAGAAATGATTTCCATCCCTAACTGATAATTCAGGTCAAAGCTTATAGAAATCAATTAATCATGAAAGAGGAAGAATGTTTTTGAAACAAAATTTCAGTTAACTTTCCCCTTTGGGGGCCATCCCTCAATGCCCAGTGGTCAAACAAATTCTGAATTTAGAAAATAATTCCTATTCTTAAGTGATTAATCAAACCAAAGTCTATAGAAATCCAATAAGGCATGAAAAAGGAATAGCGTTTTGAAGCAAAATTTCAACTACCTCCCTCATTTGGGACCCCGCTCCCCAACCCCCAGTGGTTGAATCAGATATCTGAATTTAGAAAATAATAACCTACCCTAACTGATGAATCAGGCCAAAGCTTGTTGGAACCCATGAATCCAACAAGGCAGAAAGGAGTAGTGTTTAAAAGTTATTTATGTACCTCCCCCTTTGGGGCCTCATTCCTCAAACCCCTAAAGGTCAAATGAAAATTCTGAATTTTACAAATGATTACGCTCACCAATGATGCATCAGACCAATTTTTGCTAAAATCCACCAAGGTATGAAAGAGGAGTAGGGTTTTAAAAAAAAGTTTACACATCACACACAATGATGGATGAAGCACAACCTTTTGTGTATTAACACAAAACATATCATTTTTTCTACTTGACACCCACAAATCCTCAACCCTTATGGTGTCCGACAAACCATTCATACTTCAAACCAAATCATTCCTACAGAAAAAGTAGGATTTTAAAGAATTTGCCCTATTTCCAATATTGGGTCCATCCTCTCCCACCTCAGGAAGCCCCAAAGACCCATATTTTATACAAATTTCATTACGTTTCATCCAGGAATGCTTCAGACCAAATTTGGGGAAAACTCAATCATTCCTGCAGGAGGAGTAGGTTTTGAATAATTTGCTGTATTTCCCCTATTGAACCCCATCCCTCCTGTCCCAGGAGACCAAGATCCAATTTTTATACAAAATTGATTACCCTATCCAACAACGCTTCAGACTAAATTTGGGCAAAATTCAATCATTCCTACAGGAGAATTTGCTCTATTTCCCCTACTGGGCCTCGCCCCTCCCTCCCCCCCCCCTTTCCCCCCCCTCCTCATTCCCAGGGGGCTGAGACCCAAAACTGATTCCCCTTCCATAAATGCTTAAGACCAAATAAGCACAAAATCTGCTTAGTCATTCATGACTAGTACCAATTTGTATAAAAAATTGACATACAGACTGGCATCATGGTATGCCAAATAATATACAATATTCAATTGATTCTTCAGCAGTACAATATTATACATTGTATCTAAATAAAACATTTAACAAGGGTCTTTTGGAAAGACAAATGTAACACTACAATACAGCACATTCAGTTAAATACAATGAAATAATATATACTAGGTATACTATCATTAGAGTATTTATAAATTTACAAATACTAATATTTGATTCTTTTATGCAATATTGCAAATTAATGCTTGTAGCATTTATAGTAAACATACTAGCTTTGATTGCATGATAAAAACATAAGTGTTTTGGCAGTATACAAGCAAGCAAAGCCTCTGATGGATATTCAAACTTCATATAAATTCAACATTAAATAATAACACATTTCTTTTGTCCTTTCATAAAACTTTTGTCCTAGGTCCTAGCTACAAAATATGTAGTCCTTGAATCACTTGAAGTCAACAAAATATATAGAAGATGTTTAGAATATCAATAATTGAGATTTTTCACATTCAAGGACACATATTTTCTACATGACTGCTTTTTTCACTGAAGGGACAGCCAAGACCATTTTGGGATGAGGTTTTGAAGTACACTCATGTAGTAGTAGGTGGCTACCTAAATGAATAACACACAAGAGGCTCATCAATTAGAGGAAAGTGTCTTTCCTGCATTTTCTTCAAAGTCAAACTGAAATGAACAGCACCATTTTTTCATCAACTACTATGGATATAATACTTAGGGTAGTAATAAACACAAAAGGCCCATAAGGCCAGTATCACTCACCTGATTTAGTTTACTGATTTAAACTATAGAAAAAGTATATACAACACAAATGACTTGTATCTATTTCCACTGAAAGACCCCACCTCTCTGCTCCAAAGGGGGTCAGATGCAGAGTTAATACAAAACAATGTTTTCTTCACCCAAGGATGCTTTAGATCAAATTTTGGTAAAATATTGCTGCTCTCACACCCAGCAGCCAAGACAGGCTGCATACGCAATAAATCCCCTTCACCCAAACATGCCTCAAACCAAATTGGGACATAATCCAGGCATTCATAAAGAAGATAAAGGATTTTAAATAATATCCAAAATTAGGTCCTGCCCCTTCCATGCATGGAGATCTAGACCTACTATCTATGCAAATTGATTACCCTTTCACCCAAGAATGCTTCAGACCAAATTTGGGCAAAATCCAATCATTTCTACCGGAAGAGTATGATTTAAAGAATTTGCTCTATATGCCCTGCCCCTCCTGTCCACAGAGTCAAAGACCTATCATTTACGAAAATATTCATTTACACAAGAATGCTTTAGGTCAACTTAAGGCGAAATCAAATCATTCCTACTGGAGGGGTTGGCTTTCAAACTATTTACTCTATTTCCCCTATTTGGCCCCATCCCACCTTCCCCAGGGGTCGAGACCTTCTGTCTATACAAGATTGATTCTCCTTCACCCAAGAATGCTTCAGACCAAATTTGGGAATATCTATTCATTCCTACAGGAGGAATAGGATTTTTTTAAATTTACTCTTTTTTTCCTTACTGGGTGCTAGTCCAACCGCCCCAGGGAGCTGAGGCCTAATGTTTATACAAGATTGATTCCCCCTTCACCTAAATATGATTCAGACCAAATTTGGACAATCAATATCTATGCAAACTTGGTTCCTCGTTCCACAAGGATGGTTCTGACTAAATTTGGTCAAAATCTGTTCAGTTGTTCAAAACTATAGTAATTTTTAGTAAAACGTTGATAGACGCCTTCAGACCAGGTAATCTAAAAAAAACCCAATGTAAAGGAACATAAAAAAGATCCATTTTTTCTGAAATAGATTCAATATCAAATTTTTTTTTAAAATTTAATTATTTTCAGGAAAACTGTGACTAACTATTGGATCAGCAACATACTGTCTAAGACTCCTAATATCTATGTAATACATAAGTCATAAATGACAAACTTTCACATATGCCATGAATTGATGGCCTACTTTGTTTGTGATTCTGCTGTTGCAAATTCATTAAATAAAAGGTAGTCTTTCAAGGATTTAGGCAGTGTCATTTTCCTTATATTATCATCAATGCTGGCAGGTATGCCATTTCTTATGGAGATGCGACAGATCTCCTTCAAAGAATACAGTGGGTAAAGCATGCTCTGTATCCATGGTGATATCTTTTCATAACTACTACAGATATTAAGCTGCTGCATCTTGTACGTCAGTTGTGCACTTTGACTTGAAGGCTGAAAGCCAGCAGCCAGCAACAGGCGCCAGGACATCAACTCTTTGCTATATGGACCGATCACTTCTGGGTTTTCAAGAATAGATTTGGAAAAGCTTAAAGATACCAGTTCTGTCATTTCATCTGGAGTAAGGGATGCCCCATATGAAAGAAGCAATCGTATCTTTTCTACAGAATTGTGAACATAAGCAAATATGAGAGGCTTCTGTTTCCTCCAACCACCACCTTTGTTTACATCAGCACCATGCTCCAGTAGAAGTTTTACAATGTTACATGGCACGTTGACAGAGGAGCAGGCAGCACCCAGTGGTGTGCATTGATTATCATCCAACATGTTGATGTCCATGCCGAGTTCCAACAGCTCTCGAACTAGCCCTACATCTTTGTATTGCACAGCTGTTGGCAATAGCGTTGCCTTAGATATGTCAGCATTTGCCTGTAGCAATACCTGTGGAGATCATTAAATTGTTCATATACATATCTAATTTTGAAGAGGAATGGTTTTAACTTATTATCACATGATCAATCCAAAATATACTACATATGCCACTAAATTATCGCACCAGTTTGATGCCAAACTACCAATTTCAATAAAGGATACAGTTTAGCCATACCATTTCAATGAGAAAAAAAGAAATAGATTTGAAAAAAAAAACTAAATCTTAATAATTTCAATAAATTACCACATCAAAATCTCATATATATATAGATTAAAATATATGCAAGCTCTGTGTCAACAAAGTCAATAAATTGAATAGATAAGAGATACACACACAAATTCCACATTAAAGTAATAATTTACCTTTGTGATCTGTATCGGTGGGAATTCACTTGGGTTGTTTTGGCTGAGATTATTTGAACCTGGTCGATAGGTCCAGAATTTAGCGTTACGACATGTAACTCTGATTGGACAATCACCATCTACAGTTTGAATGTTGACATCACAGTTATGTCTTACTAACAATGATACCATTTCTATATCATCAGCTTCACATGCCGTGAACAAAGGTGTCCGGCCCATATTGTCTTTCCAATCTACATTAGCACCACTGTCAAGCAAAAATTGTAGAATTTCTAAAAAATCGTCTGTCTTCTCATCATCATTTCCATCTATAATTCTGTTCCCTCCTTCACAAGTGTAATGCAGGGCTGTCTTACCATCATTTCCAGGGGCACCTATATCTGCTCCATCTTTCACTAACAACTTGACCATTTCCACACTGCCTTGTTTACATGCCAGACTCAGTGGGGTGAGATTATCCACATCATCTGGAATGACACGACAGTCCAAGACCTCAAAGTCCGACTCCACTCCATCTATGGTTGCCATGTCTTCTCACGACACAAAGGCTGTCATCTTGTCTCTAAAATTACAGAAATGCAATAATATGATCATAATTATTAAATAAGTTTTTGAGTATCTTCCAGTCATCTCTTTTTTCAAGAAATCCGTATCTAAAATATAGTACAAATAAAGACTGAATTGAGAAACCAATACAAGCACAATCTCAGTATGTCTGATTACTTGCCTTGTTGAGTTTATTTAGTATTTTTCTTTGAAAGTTCAAAACTGATCTTTCCTAAATAAACAGTAGTAGAAATTGTGCAAACTTTTGTGAAAATTACTTTCGCTGAAAACAAAACGCATGCTTATGTTATTTACAACTGAAATACAGGTGAACAACACTCAACGCAAAATATGAAGAAAACCATTTCCAAATCAATGGCATTAGAATTTGAGCAATTTATTCACAAAAATGAGATCCACTTCTTACTGACCAACAAAATGGCTAGAGCACATTAACTACAACAAAGAAGTGAATGGGGCACATGTCTTTATGGCTAAATGAACAAATACATGCATAATGGATATTTTGTCTTTGATTTTTAACTTTATACAGAAAACATTTTTTTTCAAATTTTGTACAAGATCTTTCTTTAGAATGCATTATCTTCATAATGATATTATCAGATTATCAGTCAATCAGAATTTATTACCAAGAAAGGAAAGAGGGAGACAAATCTAGCCTCACAATTTATATCCTGCTCTCTCAGCCACATGAATGACGCTTATTTACACAACAACAAAACATCTCTACAACATTCTTCCTGCAGATGGCAAAAACCCAAGACAACTGTCACTGTTATTTAGGTGAAATATGAACTCATCTGTGATTAGCACTTCAGACAAGTCTCACTTGGTGAATTCCAGATCAGAAGTCTCCTCTATTATGCTTGGTACCTGAAATGCTTCTAATGGTCTTTGAAGAGGACTGGAACTGATCATGATTATGTAAATACCATGTTCTACCATCAGTTTTTCCGTTTAAATCTGCGTAAACCAGATGGGAGTATATCAGGCTATAAACACCCATCTGGTCAAGTGTATGAATACACATTCGATGGTCAAACAAAAACAATCTTGGTAGATATACCTGCATTATTTACGTTCTGTGTTGCATTCGCCTATAATCATAAATATGCCAAATTGTAGTATATGAGACAGTATAATACAATTTACAGTGATTCAGTCAGTGTTGGAATGAATAAATCTAGATGTCTCACAGGTAAAAAAAAAAAACTGACAGTCAATTTCACTTTGGTATTAATGAACAGTATATTTATATATCCCAAGTTGTTGGACTTCTGACCTTCACAAAAAATAAGTAACTTTACAAAGCTATCAAATTATAACAGAACAAATTTATTGCCAAACATGTAATTCTGCAACAAAATCATCATTATCACCATAACACACTTGATTACCAAGTTTTTCAACTTTGTCTGCTACAGTAGACGTCAATATGAGGGTCCAAAGTACAAACATAGAATCTGTTACAAACAAAATGTCATCACTTACTGACAGGATTTATTTATAATACATTACTATTGCAATTAAACCTCTAGTATAGTTACATTGTTATTCTAAGTATGAATGTCTATACCCACTAAACAGATTTCATGAATATTTTATTCATTTGTGTGCATCTATTTTGTAATTATTTTGTCTCTTTTTTTTTCCAGAAAATACTATAAAACCTGAATGGCTTGGAAAATTAATTTCAGAATCAGTAATTTGAAATCATGTTGAAATAAAAACAAGAGGCCCATGGGCCTTAACGGTCATCTGACAAAAAGCAAGCCAAACCTAGAAAAATTCATTTGAACAAACTTGGTAGCCTCTCCTCCAAGCATCTTACAGGCCCAATATCAGCACTCATGGACTTTTGCTTGTTGAGAAGAAGTCGTTTGTATATTTTAACATATTTGACCCCTGTGACCTTGAAAGTGGGTTGAGGTCATTCATTTGAATAAACTTGGTAGCCTTTCCTCCCAGCATGCTACAGACCCAATATCGGCACTCATAGACTTTTGCTTATTGAGATGAAGTCCTTTGTATATTTTAACATATTTGACCCCTGTGACCTTGAAAGTGGGCCAAGGTCATTCATTTGAACAAACTTTGTAGGCTCCATGCCAGCATGCTATGGGCCAAGTATTAGCCCCCTAGGCCTTCTAGTATTTGAGAAGAAGTTATTTAAAGATTTTGACATATTCTGCGACCTTGAAAGTTGTTCAAGGTCATTCATTTAAATAAACTTGGTAACCTTTCCTCCCAGCATGCTACAGACCCAATATCGGCACTCATAGACTTTTGCTTATTGAGATGAAGTCCTTTGTATATTTTAACATATTTGACCCCTGTGACCTAGAAAGTGGGCCAAGGTCATTCATTTGAACAAACTTTGTAGGGCTCCATGCCAGCATGCTATGGGCCAAGTATTAGCCCCCTAGGCCTTCTAGTATTTGAGAAGAAGTTATTTAAAGATTTTGACATATTTGAGCCCTGTGACCTTGAAAGTTGTTCAAGGTCATTCATTTAAACAAACTTGATAGCCCTTCATCCCAGCATGCCACAGGCACAATATCAGCAATCTAAGCCTTTTGGTTATTGAGAAGAAGTTGTTTAAAGATTTTAACATAACCCCTGTGACCTTTAAAGTGGGTCAAGGTCATTCATTTGAACAAACTTGGTAGTCCTTTATCCCAGCATGTCACAGGCCCAATATCTACTGAGCCTTTTGGTTAATGAGAAGAAGTTGTTTAAAGATTTTAACATATTTGACCCCTGTGACCTTGAAAGTGGGTTGAGGTCATTCATTTGAATAAACTTGGTAGCCTTTCCTCCCAGCATGCTACAGACCCAATATCGGCACTCATAGACTTTTGCTTATTGAGATGAAGTCCTTTGTATATTTTAACATATTTGACCCCTGTGACCTTGAAAGTTGGCCAAGGTCATTCATTTGAACAAACTTTGTAGGGCTCCATGCCAGCATGCTATGGGCCAAGTATTAGCCCCCAAGGCCTTCTAGTATTTGAGAAGAAGTTATTTAAAGATTTTGACATATTTGACCCCTGTGACCTTGAAAGTTGTTCAAGGTCATTCATTTAAACAAACTTGATAGCCCTTCATCCCAGCATGCCACAGGCATAATATCAGCAATCTGAGCCTTTTGGTTATTGAGAAGAAGTTGTTTAAAGATTTTAACATATTTGACCCCTGTGACCTTTAAAGTGGGTCAAATTCATTTGAACAAACTTGGTAGTCCTTCATCCCAGCATGTCACAGGCCCAATATCTACACTCTGAGCCTTTTGGTTAATGAGAAGAAGTTGTTTAAAGATTTTAACATATTTGACCCCTGTGACCTTTAAAGTGGGTCAAGGTCATTCATTTGAACAAACTTGGTAGAGCTCCATGCCAGTATCCTCTGTGCCAAGTATTAGCCCCCTAGACCTTCTAGTATTTCAGAAGAAGTCGTTTGAATGAAAAGTTTACGGACGGCGCACGGCGCACGACGACGGACGAAGCATGATGACTATAGGTCATCGGACCCTTCGGGTCCAGATGACCTAAAAATATAAAATATCAGAAAAAAAGTTTTTTTTCATAACTTGGATTGAGTAATCTGAATGGGATAAAAATGTAACAACCTTTGAGAATAAATTGCATTTGATATTATACAGTGTATTCATATTTGAATAAGACATCAAAATATCAAAGGCACTAGCTTGCATGCTAAATTGTGTTTTTATGCTTCGGCAGCTGTAAGATAAAAAAATATATGAATTTAGTGTATTTTGCAGTTTCGTTATGATGACAAGGCAAGACAGATCATATTTTCATGCAACATAAAATTACACCTAATTCTTGCTTTTGCTTACGGTGTCAATTACTTCATATTGTTGCTCAATTGATGAGAAGATGGATCGACATTATAGTATATATATACCCATAATATATGTAATCAATAATGGCACAGCAGAGAGTTATTCCCCTTAGGTCCCTGATTTAAAAAAAAAAAAGAAAATTTCACAAACACCACAAATAATTAGACCTAACGGTTACAAAAGGTACAAAATGAGAGCATTTAAGAGAATTCTTGGTGCATTTGAGTATTTTTTGGTATGTTTGAATTTATTTGAATTTATTTGAGTAAAAAGTCGAGCCCTACAGCATTTGCCCTAATATATATGTATAGTCAGATTTGCCGGTAACCCATTACCTGACTAAGTGGTACAAAAACAGTACAGTGTTTTTGTTTTCACATGTTACAAAAACACAAATATAAATGTAGTTGGTCCACAAAATGGAATAATTCTTCAAATGTATGATAGTTACATGCATACATGTATTTATAAATACACGGGTAGGAAAACATATTACTAGTGAAAATGATATAATTCTCATTTCTTGTTATCTGTTCAAAAAGTTATCAGTTCTCAGGAGGCAAACACATCAGAAATCATATGGTCAATATCACCACACAATACAATAGATTATTAAATAGTTGTATACCTATCTCAATCACCATGGAAACAGTATTTAATTGATATTAGAAGTTCATTATAATGAGCTAACTTCATAGTCTATACACAAGGATTTCTTCCTTTAAAATAATATGTAACTTGATCAATCTACAATGCTTTATGACTGTTTTTGACAAATTTTCAATTCTTACAATCACGGTACTGGTATATTGTAAATATTACCAAAGGTAGGAAACGTTCTACCTCTGTAACTACAGAATTTATACAACGTTAATACCAGTAATATGTTATTGATCATTATAGCGAACATATTTCACGGTTAGGTGTATCCATGTACTGTTAAATTTTGCACTTTTGTTTTCCAAGCTATGTTACGTACAATATAAAAATGATATGAATAGCCTATTAAGGAAGATGGTTCATTTTATAATTTTTTAGAATTTTAACACAGATATGGTATTAGATCTAACCTTTTTGACATTTCATAGTGTAATAAATGCTGTAAAACAATTTAAAAATAGTAAAAAAGAAATAATTTCTTTGAATAGGTTTACCTGTTTATCTAATAATCTTTGAATTTGATAACTATATTGAGGGAAAGAAAGGGGGCTCCTAATATGTATACAGTCTTCAGTCATGATACTAAGTCTATGTCACAAAAGAAATGATCTTGGATCTTTAACATTCAGGAAAATCAACGGGAATAAATTGATACATGTCCATTTAGAACTACCAATAGCACAGAATTAAATTTGTTCCAATATAGAGATCATCGTAGATTTTTAACTTCTACATAAAAGAATTAAAACAGCTACTTGCTGGCCACAACATTCATATTGAATTTGTTAAACAGGAATTTATTTTTTAGAAAATTCTGTTTTAAAGATGCAGATAATACATGTTTAAAATGAAATGTCTTAAAACTGAATTTAACATAACTAGATTAAATGGTCAAAACATTCTTTGAACTAAAATCCCTTAAAAAATGAGTTAATCACAAGGCCTACAAAATAGCATAGATTTGCTAAGCAATTATTAAGAATGGCTCTTCTTCAGAAAAGCAATTATACAAAATTATGTGTATCAATTTTACTGTTATGATAATACACAAAACGTAACTTGAAGTCTGGGACTTGCAATCCCCCCTCCCCCCCTCTCCCCCTTTTGCCCTACTTACCACTACTATCTGTATGCGTGCGTGTGATTTACTATATCTGTGTATTTTGTGTGTGTGTGTGGCACATATGTGTAATGTGCACCCTTCTAGAAATTATGTTTAAAAGTACATTACTGTTTTGCATATAAGAATGCAAATTGAATAATAAAAAATGGAATAATTGTGTTCCTCTCACAATCACGCCATGCCAATAAATTGGGTCATGGTTACAGTCAAGTCTCCTTTCACGATATCAGAAGGTGAATTAATGGTTAATACTTGGTTTGGTTACGTGCAAACAGAGCAAATTAAAAGATAAGGTGCTTACGTTTGAATGGCATGTCGAAATCTACTTTGAATGGTCATAGAACGGCTCTATCTACTTGCAGACGACCATTACAAGGTAAATGGATGGAAGTGTGTCAGCTGTTTGACATCCGGAAAGCACATGCACTGCCTACAATCGACCAATCGTTGTAAAGAACTGTCAAAAAGTAGACTGCTTTGTTTACGTTGATTAAATTTACGACATTCCTAATTAATACTACCATTATTCGTTATCTCTCGAATGCAAAGACAAAGAAAATATATATCATACATTATCCTGGTGTAATAGTCGCAACATAACCGATATGACGTTTTCAGGCTATGTCGTAAAACATTGTCTGGCTCAGATAAATTAATATAAAATAGCGCTATGCACTGCCTAAGAGCAGAGACGTATATGTGATATATACGTCTCTGCTAAGAGCGAGCACGAGTGTTTAACAAGATGCTAAATTTAAACTGCCAGATTCAAGGCTTCAATTTTTTCAATTTGTTTAAATTTTGCAAGCTTTGTAAACTAGATACACACCGACACAACCGCAAGTACCAATGTATTGCATTTGGTAAATACTATCTGCTCGGCTCTTTAGCTCGATGGAGGAAGAGTCACAAACGAACCCTTGATAAATTTGCAAAATTCAAATGTCAGACGAATGATTGCCAGGGACTTTTGATAAAGTTTTGACAGTAGTGCCTTTGTACGGCACGGAGCCCGTTAACTGACATGCTCCATACTTATTTTATTTCGTTTTTTCGAAATAATATTCTTCTAACGAAATATTATTTCGAAAAAACGAAATAAAATAAGTATGGAGCATGTCAGTTAACGGGCTCCGTACGTTTGTTAGTATGTCCCGACATAAACATAATGTCCTTCGTACAGATGCTTGTTTGTCTCCAGAGATTAATCCACAGGAAAAATCGTTTTATTTCCTGTCACACAAATTAAGTGATACTCAAAGAAGATCTACGGTAAAAGAGAAGTATTTGCCATATATCATAATCTTTAAAACTAAGATTATTATTTATATAACACAATTTACAATTAAATCAGACCATCAACCTTTAAAGTATTTTTTACTTCAGCCATTAGGTATTGCGGGATCATTGTGCCGATTTATTGTCAAGAGCAATTAGGGTTAGGAAACACGAGGAGAAAGTAAACAGATTGACCAAGATATTGGGAATATCACTTTGAAAATTTATATATTCAAGTCAATTTTATACAAAGGACTATGCTTGATATGATATTTATATAACCAGAAAATTGATGGCTCATGGACCGAACAGGTAAAGAAACCAAAGTTAGATGGTTTGGGAAAGTCAAAGTCACTGTTGACCAGGTAAACAGGTGGTTTAGTGAAGGTCAAAGTCACTGTTGACCAGGTAAACAGGTGGTTTTGGGGGTCAAAGTCAGTGTTGACCAGGTAAACAGGTTGTTTTGTGAAGGTCAAAGTCACTGTTGACCAGGTAAACAGGTGGTTTTATGAAGGTCAAAGGTACTGTTGACCAGGTAAACAGGTGGTTGTGGGGGTCAAAGTCAGTGTTGACCAGGTAAACAGGTTGTTTTGTGAAGGTCAAAGTCACTGTTGACCAGGTAAACAGGTGGTTTTGTGAAGGTCAAAGTCACTGTTGACCAGGTAAACAGGTGGTTTTGGGGAAGGTGAAAGTCATCGTTGACCAGGTAAACAGGTGGTTTTGGGGAAGGTCAAAGTCACTGTTGACCAGGTAAACAGGTGGTTTTGGGGAAGGTCAAAGTCACTGTTGACCAGGTAAACAGGTGGTTTTGGGGGTCAAAGTCAGTGTTGACCAGGTAAACAGGTTGTTTTGTGAAGGTCAAATTCACTGTTGACCAGGTAAACAGGTGGTTTTGGGGAAGGTCAAAGTCGCTGTTGACCAGGTAAACAGGTGGTTTTGGGGGTCAAAGTCACTGTTGACCAGGTAAACAGGTTGTTTTGTGAAGGTCAAAGTCACTGTTGACCAGGTAAACAGGTGGTTTTGGGGAAGGTCGAAGTCATCGTTGACCAGGTAAACAGGTGGTTTTGTGAAGGTCAAAGTCACTGTTGACCAGGTAAACAGGTGGTTTTGTGAAGGTCAAAGTCACTGTTGACCAGGTAAACAGGTTGTTTTGGGGAAGGTCAAAGTCACTGTTGACCAAGTAAACAGGTGGTTTTGTGAAGGTCAAAGTCACTGTTGACCAGGTAAACAGGTGGTTTTGTGAAGGTCAAAGTCACTGTTGACCAGGTAAACAGGTGGTTTTGTGAAGGTCAAAGTCACTGTTGACCAGGTAAACTGTTGACAAAGTCACTGTTGACCAAGTAAACAGGTGGTTTTGTGAAGGTCAAAGTCACTGTTGACCAAGTAAACAGGTGGTTTTGTGAAGGTCAAAGTCACTGTTGACCAGGTAAACAGGTTGTTTTGGGGAAGGTCAAAGTCACTGTTGACCAAGTAAACAGGTGGTTTTGTGAAGGTCAAAGTCACTGTTGACCAAGTAAACAGGTGGTTTTGTGAAGGTCAAAGTCCCTGTTGACCAGGTAAACAGGTGGTTTTGTGAAGGTCAAAGTCACTGTTGACCAGGTAAACAGGTTGTTTTGGGGAAGGTCAAAGTCACTGTTGACCAAGTAAACAGGTGGTTTTGTGAAGGTCAAAGTCACTGTTGACCAAGTAAACAAGTGGTTTTGTGAAGGTCAAAGTCACTGTTGACCAGGTAAACAGGTTGTTTTGGGGAAGGTCAAAGTCACTGTTGACCAAGTAAACAGGTGGTTTTGTGAAGGTCAAAGTCACTGTTGACCAAGTAAACAGGTGGTTTTGTGAAGGTCAAAGTCCCTGTTGACCAGGTAAACAGGTGGTTTTGTGAAGGTCAAAGTCACTGTTGACCAGGTAAACAGGTTGTTTTGGGGAAGGTCAAAGTCACTGTTGACCAAGTAAACAGGTGGTTTTGTGAAGGTCAAAGTCACTGTTGACCAAGTAAACAGGTGGTTTTGTGAAGGTCAAAGTCACTGTTGACCAGGTAAACAGGTGGTTTTGGGGAAGGTCAAAGTCACTGTTGACCAGGTAAACAGGTGGTTTTGTGAAGGTCAAAGTCACTGTTGACCAGGTAAACAGGTTGTTTTGGGGAAGGTCAAAGTCACTGTTGACCAAGTAAACAGGTGGTTTTGTGAAGGTCAAAGTCACTGTTGACCAAGTAAACAGGTGGTTTTGTGAAGGTCAAAGTCACTGTTGACCAAGTAAACAGGTGGTTTTGTGAAGGTCAAAGTCACTGTTGACCAAGTAAACAGGTGGTTTTGGTGAAGGTCAAAGTCACTCTTGACAGGTTGTTTTTTTTAGAGAAATGGTTGCAGTGACTTTTAATTTTAGTTATTAACAGAAAGTCTTAGTTTTGTAATATACTATTGGAAAATAGAACGTTTTATATCGTTTTCTCGTGGTGGTTTTTAACATTATAGTGGCTTCAATTCCGAGAGAAGTCCCGCCAAATGCTATGTCTTGTGGAATCCAAGCGTAATGATACACACCATGAAGGGTTGGTTAAACATAAGTACTTAAGATCAGAAAGTGACCGTATAAGTTTGTTACGTAGAAGAGACCCAAAACTTTTTTACCAATTTTTTTAAAAAGAAATCGGATTGTCCGTGAAATCATCTGAACATTGGTGATTTTTTTTCAACATTGCAAAGCAGTAAATAGTGAGGATGACAGTGATTCTTCAGTTGATGTGTCATCAGATTTGCCAGACTGCGATGATTTACAGGTATATGACAAAGTGGACTCTACAATTACTGAAGTAATGACAGTATTAAAAGGCGCCAAATTAGGTCAATTTCCCGACATCGAAAACATTCTCAACGATTTTTTGTCAAACATAAAGAGACATTCGCTCCTATTCTGTCACAATTACTTAATGTTTTGTTAGATAGGGGCGTCTTCCCCTCAGTCTGGTCAAGGGGTATTATTTTTCCTTTGTTCAAAAGATGTTATGCCAATGATACATATAATTATAAATCAATCAATTTGGTAAGTTGTTTATCTAAATTATTTACTTCCGGTTTAAATGATAGACTTCTAGAATGGTCTCAGAAGTACTACATTGTTACCGATGCCCAAAGCGGGTTTAAGCCTGGTTTTAGAACTAATAATGTTATTTTTGCTTTACATGGTGTAATTAGGATTTTTTTTCTAATAACTGTCAGCTTTACTGCTGTTTAATTGACTATCGTAAGGCCTTCGATACTGTTAACAGAAATAAATTGTTTTTGAAAATGTTTTACAGTGGAATCAGATGAATCTTTATATGAATGTTTAAAGTCTTATGTTAAGTATAAATCTGAGTTGTCTGATTTCTTTACATGCTCACGAGGCTTGATGCAAGGGGCGGGGTTATCTCCTTTCCTTTACTCCATATATGTAAATGACCTTGAAATTGAACTTTGTGACGCTTTATCGTTGAGATAATTGTTTGTTTATCCTTATGTTTACAGAGGATACTGTTTTCTTCTCAGAATCTGTCTCTGGTTTAAAACAATAAAGCGATAATTGAGACCTGACAGTTAATACGGAGAAAACAAAAATTGTTGTTAAGTGACGGAAGATTACGAGCTGATGAGAAATTCTACTTTAATGGTTACAAATTGTTGACAGATTTAATTATCTTGGTGTATTGCTTAATATGTTTCACCTGTTCTGGTTGCGAAACAAGGAGCTTTAATGCCACGGACACTAGAAAAAATACATGCTGATTTTTGAAAAGGAATCCTAAATGTAAAAAAAACGCTATCTTTTATTAGGATGCCTGTCTATGTATATCATCGAGAAATGTCGAATAATGAAACATTCGTTGAAATTAATTAAAGTGATAATTCTATCCTTAAGACAATTTAAGAAGAAATTGAAGAATGTAACCACAGAAACTGTAATTAGCGTTGTCAAGTTAAGAAACCATTGTTGTCCTCTGGTATTGGTAACATCTGGTTAACTCATTTTGCTGATAATATACATGTATTTCTATGTTGTTCTCAGCAGCATTTGATAGATAATTTTATTAGAGCAATTTTATTTAACAAAGTCTATGCCAGATAAATATCTTAAACTTATATCGAAATTACGACTTTCATCCCATCAGTTATGTATAGAAGAAGGTCGTTATCGTGGTATTCCAAGGCAGAATATGTTATGTCGGTTTTGTAATCGAAACAAGGTAGAAGACAACTTTCATTTTGTTCTCATCTGTCCACTATATGTAGATATTCATAAAAAGTTCATTAAAAAGTATCATTGGAACCGCCTATCTTCATATCAACTTGACCAGCTGCTGTCTGTACGTAACAGGAAAGAAATTTGTAACTTAGGAAAGTGTCTGTAATCGAGTTTATTAGTCTACTGAGATTCCAACTTTAACTTATTGTATTTTCACTTTGGTTAGCACTGCATGAGTATTTGTTTGTCTACAACATTATATATATTATTGCCGTCCATCCCCTGACTACTCCACACTATATATTGTTGCCGTCCATCCCTGACTACATCACACTATATATTGTTGCCGTCCATCCCCTGACTACACCACACTATATATATTGTTACCGTCCATCCCCTGACTACACCACATTATATATATTGTTACCGTCCATCCCCTGACTACATCACACTATATCTTGTTGCCGTCCATCCCCTAAATACACCACTCTATACATATTGTTACCGTCCATCCCCTGTCTACACCACTCTGTACATATTGTTACCGTCCATCCCCTGACTACACCACTATATATTGTTACCGTCCATCCCCTGACTACACCACACTATACATATTGTTGCCGTCCATCCCCTGACTACACCACACTTTACGTATTGTTGCCGTCCATCCCCTGACCACACCACACTATATGTATTGTTGCCGTCCATCCCCTGACTACAACACACTATATATATTGTTGCCGTCAATCCCCTGACTACAACACACTATATATTGTTGCCGTCCATCCCCTGACTACATCACATTATATATTGTTGCCGTCCATCCCCTGACTACACCACTCTATATATATTATTGCCGTCCATCCCCTGACTACACCACTCTATATATATTGTTACCGTCCATCCCCTGACAACACCACTCTATACATATTGTTACCGTCCATCCCCTGACTACACCACTCTATATATATTGTTGCCGTCCATCCCCTGACTACACCACACTATACGTATTGTTGCCGTCCATCCCCTGACTACACCATACTATATGTATTGTTGCCGTCCATCCCCTGACCACACCACACTTTATGTATTGTTGCCGTCCATCCCCTGACTACACCACACTATATATATTGTTGCCGTCCATCCCCTGACTACACCACACTATATATATTGTTGCCGTCCATCCCCTGACTACAACATTATATATATATTGTTGCCGTCCATCCCCTGACTACATCACTTTACATATGTAAGCCCTGTTCGAGCTGCACTTTATAATTCTATTGTAGTCTACCTATTCCTGTTTAAAGTCAATGTACACTTGTATAAAGTAACTACACACGAGCTGTTCATCTCCCGTTAATTTGTCTATCTTGTACACGATAATGACAGAGTATTTAAACTTACTAAATACGACCTACAAAATTATGCTTTATACATGATGATATAATGTCTTTGTATTTCGTATTACTTACGTATCAATTATATGTGGTTATGAATGTTAAAGAGTCGTAAGGCTTCAAGTCAAATAAACAATAAACAGTTAACTAAGAGACACGTACGTCCAGGTTATATAGATATATGTTGTTATGGGTTACGTCCCCTTAGCGTTTATCGAGTCTTAGCTAGGTACGTGAGCGCACTGGTAAAATGGTGTCTGTGATGATTGAGTGATTTTATCAAATTTCTATTACAGACTTAGTAGTTACAGTTTTACTCTTTCAGCCCGTGTGAGGATTGACCACGATAAAGATCCCCCTGAGACTTTTCGCAAAAAAGGATGCTAGTACAGGTGTCTAGGGCGATACAATTATTTTGAAGATATTGGACGGAACTGAAAATTAACACAAACCCAATCTAGATAGGCCCCACATTCTTCCTGCTAGAGTTAGGCTAAGGCAATATTAGGTCGGATCCGTCTTCTAAGACTAGTATAATCAAATGATCACAGCTATAGACGGTTAGACTATCCTTCTGAGGGGGATGCAGGTCGACCCTCATGTCGCAAGAACACTGACGTTCGTCAGTGAGACGATATACGAACACGGGAGGTGTCACGGAGAGGAAAAACTTGTCAATCTTACAGTTTTACTCGATGACCCGTACAGCCATGGTGATATAGGTATTTGTTGTAGTCTACATAGACACATCTACTATTCCTTAATAGTACGGTACATAACATGTCGGACTTATTTCGAATTTGAATCTATACTAGTATAAATATCCATGTTCAAAATCACAAACAAAAAATAACCACCTTCGATGATTATTATAAAAACCAGAGTGTTACAATTCAGTTCAAAAATATCTGTTGAAAAAAAAACATCATATTATATTATATGAGTGCATATGGTCAGTTATTACGAAGGACGCGCCAGTAAAGCCCCAGCTGAGAAACTCACAGATTACGAATATACGCAGACATCATCTGCTTTGGCTAGGGGTGTATACTAAAGACGCTCATGGATTTGGTTTAAAACAAATAAAAACTGCAAGAAGACCTAGAATTCGAAATTACACGGTTTGTATTGCACTGATTTTTGTCAAAATGCCAATTTCCAGTAATTGTGAGATATGTTCATATTTAAGATTTTCCGCTGAAGAAATGTACAATTTATTGTAGGAACGATGCGACGGAGGTAAATACAATGAGCAACGAAGAGAAATTCGAAGAGCGTTCATTTCAATGCCATTTTATTTTCCCCCGGCTCACAACAAAACAAAAGCAATTATTACATCGGATTTCGGTAAATTGTAATTTTAAAAAATAACCGGACAAGATATCCGGAATTGAATTATTAATTTCAGATAAGTTATTTGAAATAATAGAATGTAACTAATTTGTGCCATTTGAACTGTTCATATATTTTCCATGTCTATAAACAGGAATACAACTTTATTATTATATTTTTTTTTTACTTTTTTTAATCTTCATAACCTACATAAAATGTCAGTAACTAATAGAAAAATAAATGAAGAAATACATACTTTATACTTTTATTTGGGCAACTCCTTTAACTCGCAATCTCGATATATATTTATTTTATTTTGAAACACGTACTATTTAAAATTATCGCTACTCTGTAACAGTTATTCCCCTTGATAAAATCCGGATATGTATGAAACCGTCTGTTGCTTTATTGTGTATGATTCGTGACAGGTGCGAGCGACCTCAAACTTGCCAATAGTGAATGGACGGGAGAGAGAATTTGTAAACGGTTGTTATCATGGACAGGCCTATAAGATATCAAGTAGTAAGTAAACAAAGGTCTTAGATTATTTTCGAAAGCCATATGAATAGGTATCCGATGTCGTACACATCGGATTTCGGCCACCAAATCGCTAGCCTAGGCATTTGTCGCAGCTGTCAGTTGTCAGCCATGTTTTGTGATTGGGTTTAAGCTGTGCGTATAGTTATAGTTTTGTTATCAGTTACCAGGAGGTAGGTTTGTAGATGGTATAATGTATGATATTTCGGGTCCTAGTATCCCTATTTTCTGGAAAATTGCGAAAAACTGAGTTTTACTTTGATATCAATTATCAGGAGAGTAGAATTGAAAACGTATCACACTTTCTAAACAACCCTGGAGGACTAAGTAATGATCTTGTATGAAACCTGGTAAAACACTAGCCGCAGTATAACACTCGGCTAGAGAGCTTCTCTTTAGCTTGACCATCAGTTCAGCGTCAGACTCGTCAAACCAAGGGTCCCAGATTCGAAACCTAGAGACATTCAAATAGTGAACTCTGTTGCATATACAAACTTTGTATGTCCTATTTATGTTATATGAAAATCATTTGGCATTGAAAGATTTTTGGAAAGTTTCGACCAAAAGTGTCTGTCTTTAAAATGGTGATATGATGTCAATATTCACATTTATATTGCTGTTATTGATTTCAAAGCAAAACAAATTTATTTTCCTCACTGACCTGCTCAGACCGAAGAGTTGGCTATTTTCAAGCCATTCCAGGGTGTCTTTTTCTCTCTGTGCTTTAACTCTAAAATTCAGTTGTGGCATCATTACCAATTATACTAATTACAGTCTGGCACTGCCCATATAGGCTATCCCAGGTGGTGCCAGACAGTTATAGTTTCTGTAACTTAAAACGGAGATGATTGAGTTGAATTGAAGAATTTTGAAATAAAAATATTGTAGGTGAGAAAGTGTTTTATTCAGTTTTGATAAAATGATGTTTGAAAAAGAATCTGTTACCTGTATTGTCACAAAAATGTGTCATAGATACTGCTAATCATTTATCCACCTAATGACTTCCAGTTGACAAATGAGGGAGATGATGAACCTGCTCAACCTCTAGCTGTGGCTATGGTGCTGCCCCCTGTGGACCAACAGTCATCTCCACCTAGTGAGGAACCTGGTCAGTTAATATTATGATATAGATAAGCCTTATATTAATGATATAGTGCAAGATGAGTAATATGACTCCTGTGTCCTTTCATAGAAATCTTGATTTGTACAGCTTTGAAATAAAGTGTAATTTTATGGAGAATGTGCCACTAAAGAGAATGATGCTAACTTATTTGCCTGTCAGACTAAATCTGAATACTTGACATGTGAAAGCAAAAATGTGGTGAAATTATCCTTAAGGTTTGGTTAGACAAAGAAGGAAAATAACAGAATTTTCTGTTTGCATCCAAAACGTTTTACACACACTGACAGTTTTGAAGATAATGACTTTGTTACATGAATGCCATGAGAACTGTGGCAATTTTACAAAAAGAACACGTTGATTTTTACTCCGGTGAATGTGAGCAGATATTTTACACTTAGGATGTTTTCATTTTTAGAACATATGTACGGCACCAAGCTGCCATCTTATGATGAGGCTACAACTTTACCCACATATGAGGAGGCAGAAAGGTCAAAGGCTGCTGAGGCAGAGCGACAACAGGATGTGGAGAGTCAGAACCAGGAGGTCAATAAGTTGAATTATTATGGATATTATATATTTGCAAAACCAGAGGGGGAGGGACTGTATTTTTCATTAGCTCTCCATCCATTCATGTTTGTAGGTACATAGTTTTCAACTTCAGACATTTTTTAAAGACTAAAAATGGGTCAAGGTCACTTATTTTTCAATATAGTCATTGTCAACACAGTGGTAGCCTCAATTCTTTAGGGATTTTCATCAAATTTCACATACTTTTAAAGCACTAATATATCTTTGACAAGTTTGAAATTTGCCAAACAGCACAAAGCCCTTTACAGTGAAACAACTTGCAGGTGCCAGTAGGGGACATGTATTGTGAGGGCAGATAGGGGATATGTACTGCTCTAACAATACTCACTAACAATAGGCTTGTTTATGTTGTTTTTGGAACAAAACTTTAAATTGATGTACATGAAGCTGGATCAGATTTCACCATGAACTGATTAGCTCTGTATCTGATTGAAGGTTTATTATATTAGAAAATACTTAAGTGATATGAAATATGTAAAGGTACACAAGAAGAGCAATTCAAATGAGAAGTGCTAGAAACCTCACCCCCAGAATTGATTTCAACAGGACTCGTGGAAAAAGTTGTAATATTAAAAAAAGACCCAAACAGTACATCCACTATTCTTTCTAGGTGAAACATTAATTATAAGAAGCCACTTATTGACAGTACCATCATGTGTTTTTTGTGACCTTAAAGAAAATTATTTGATTGATAATTTTACCTTTACTAAATGTCTATTTCAGGATGTGGAACACAGCAGGCATCTTCTTAGAGTGACCTCCCTTGGTACAGATGGCATGTTTCTCTGTGCATTTGTGGGTTAGTGTACATCTATTCAATTTCCATTTCCATGTATGAGAATCAAACCTAAAAGATTTTAATGAAGTTTGATACTGTGTTGAGCACAGAAGTGTAATATAATACTTTCATAATGTAATGTATAGACAGAAGATTTTCCTGTGAAATTATTCCTATAGAAGATTGTACAAAAGGTACACAAGTGACTTTCAAGAGGCTGTTGGTCGTCCATTATAGCTGTTACTGATACAGTAATCAAAAATGGCAGTAGTAGTCCAAACTTTGAACAAGTGGTTCACCAGCTGATTTTTGAATCATGATTTTTAGCTCACCTGGCGTGGAGGGCCAAGTAATCCTATGGCATACTGAAGCATCCCTCTGTGATCTGTCCATCAACCCTTTTCCAAATCATTGCTACTTGTCATAAATGATGTACAGTATTTTGACCAAATTTTGTCAGAAACATCCTTAAGGGTGAGGGGTCACATGGTCAGGACCAAAAGGGGAATTTTTTAAATCCTATTTCTCTTGTAGGTATTATGGGGTGTTGTCCAAATTTGGTCTGAGGCATCCTTTGGTGAAAGAGAATCATTTCGAATAAACAATGGATATCGATAGGGCCCAATAGGGGAAATAGAGCAAATACTTCAAAATCCAACTGTAGGAATGTTTGTTATTGGTCAAATTTAGTTTAAAGCATTCTTTTGTTTCAATTTTTTTAAATCATACTTCTCCTGAAGGAGAGATTAGATTTTGCTGAAATTTGGTCTGACTCGTGCTAAAGTAAATTGAAATCAGTTTTGTATTAATGGTGGGTCTCTGGAACCCTTGGGATGGAAGGGCGAGTACCCATTTAAGGGGAAATAGAAAAAGAACACATTCTTTTAAATTCGTTGTAGGAATGGCAGGATTCTGTCCTAATTAGGTATGAAGTATGCATTATTTGTCTTACCCCCTGACAGTGATGGGGCCCAATGAGGAAACAGATATTGTGTGCGTGTTGTGTGTTATGAAATTAATAATTTATTTTCCTTTAGTTTGGATGAAGCATTCTCAGCCAAACAAAGCTATGTGAATGATACTGGCCCTATGGGCCTCTTGTTGGAATGTGTCATCAATGTTTGGTTATATTTCAGTTGCGTTCTTTTTTAACTGGATTGGATTTCTTTTCTCCATTTGTGTGTTCACCACAATTGCTGGAAGATGTGGTGCACTCTCTGGACTTGGGCTTTCCATTGTCAAGTGGGTTGCCATTGTCAAGGTAATAAAATTTTAGAAATCACTTTAGTTTACCAAGTTTTGAAGTTAATTTAGCACCACAGCTTTAATACTGTAAACTGAAATTAGCAGTGTCTAATTTCACCTTACTATTGCATGGTGAACATGTTGAACTGGCAATAAAGAAAAAGTTACAGTATACTGTTTTAGCTCACCTGGCCTGAGGGGCCAAGTAACCTTATACTGTGGTGCAGCATCCATCTTCCAGTGTCAACTTTTTCCTTTAAACAACTTCTTCTCAATAAGCAATGGACCAAATGTTGTGATCTTGGCTGGTATGTTCCAAGGATTAGTTGACAAAACAAGTGCTTTCTGTTTTCAGCAAAATGACTGGGCTTCTGGCTATGCTGACAGCGATTCCTGGATATGGTGGCTTCTAATACTTTGTGGTATGTTTAATAACCTTGACATGTACTGTGTAGTCAATTTGCTTCGCCATAAAACATCAGTTTTAAACTGATAATTTTAGAGAGGTATGTGTACATATATTACCAAAATATTAGCAGAACAACATAGATGTACAAGTGATATTCAAGGGAAGTTTTCATACAAATGGCTGCTAGTCATGATTGAACTTAGTTTAGTACAAACAGTGCATCTAACTTACATGGGGAGGAGGTGGAGGGAGTGTTTTAAATACATATAGATATACTATATATTTTTAATTAATAAATTTCAGCAAACTAAACTGGGCAATACAAGCCCTATAGTCTTCTTGTAGTGCATTTGTTTAGTGAAACTTCAATATAAAAATCAGTCACAAAAATAATTAAGGAAAAATCATTGATCCCTTAGTGATGTTGTTCTTCAAAATTCAGACATTTAAAGAATGATTCTGTTGTGATATATGCTTGCGAAATAATGGCTCAACCTTCATTAGCTTACCTGGCCAAAATTTAGGACCAACTTTTCTATAAATTGTAACTAGTCATGAATATCTCAGCAGATTTTAATCAAATTTTGGCTGAACCATCTCTAGGGGAAGGGGAACCAGCTTTGTATAAATGGTCAGTCTTGGTCCCCTAGAGGCCAGAAAGGCAGGGTCCGATAATCTATCAATTCTTTTAAAATCTATCTTGTTCATCAGGAATCACAGGATATTGTCCAAATTTGGTCTGAAGCATGCTTGCATGAAGGGAAATCAGTTTTGTATAAACAGTGGGTCTGGGCCCCCAGGGGCCAAAGGGGCAGGGTGCAGTAAAAAACATCTGTCTTGTTTTTAAGAAAAACAGGATATTGTCAAACTTTGTTCTGATGTATGCTTGGATGAAATCAGTTTCATATAAATGGTGGGGCTGGAGCTAGAGGGGTGAGGCCCCATTGGGAATATCTGTCAATTGAAGGTGACGGGAAATAAATCTTGTATAAATGATGGGTTTCAACCCCCTTGGAAATAGAGAAAATCCCTTAAAATCCTACTTCTCATGTAGGAATGATTGGATTTTGACCATATTTGGTCTGAAGGATTGTTTGATGTAGAGGAATTCGTTTTTAGGTCACCTGAGACAAAGTCTCATCGTGACCTATTGCGATCACCTCCGCTGTAATGCATCTTGTGTCATGCATGTGCATTGTACATCCATAAACAATTTAACATTTTTGACTTCTCAAAAACCCCTGAGACATTTTCAATGAAATTTTGAAGAAACCTTCCCTGGTCTTAGATGAACCAAAATAGTGAATTATACGGTCCCCACCCTACAGGGGCCTGGGAGACAGGGCCAAAGGGTCAAATTGACTTAAATTTCAAAAATATTCTCCTCAACATCCAGATATGGTAGAATCGAATACTCTTCGTGGATAGAAGTATCTTAAGGTGGTTTACCAAAAGTGTGAATTTCACGGCCCAAGGGTCTGGTATATCCCCATTGGGAGGGGGTAAAGTTTACTATAGTATATAGGAAAAATGGATTTTTTAACATTTGTTTAATTTCCATTGGAGACGTTTCAAATTTGGTAAGAATTATGAGCAAAGGATGACAGCTATATGGCATGTCCATATTGATCCTATTTGATCCCAAGGGGCCTATGGGCAGGAAGGAAGGGCAGGGCCCAACAGGGGAAATACAGCAAGTTCTTTGAAATCTTTCTACTGTAGGAATATGTGGATGTTGTCCCATTTTGGTCTAAAGCATGCTATGGTGAAGAGGAACAATATTTTGTGAACAGTGGGTTCCGTCCTTCTTGAGTGGGAGAACTGGGACCAAATAGTGGAATCAGAGAAAATTCTTTAAAATCCTTCTTATGTTGGAAACCCTAACATCTGATCCCCTTTGGGAGGAAGGGTGGGCCTATTACAGGGAAATAGATAAAAGTGTTTTAAATACTTTTCCCTTAGACAATAAATAAACTTTTTTAAAAATTTTTGTTTATAATAAATAAATTTCAGCAAACTAAACCAGATAAACAATACAGGCCCTATGGGCCTCTTGCTTTGTAATGATTGACTGTAATGTGAAACAGTATTTGTAGATGTACTTAAAAATGTCACTAATATTTTAAACATTGTGTTTTTATAGGTTTCATGATCTTCCTGAGAGGTGCAATCCATTATGCCAAGATAAAGTATGAGTGGAATCGTCTAGCTCATAACATTCGCTCTCAATACTTCTTCACTCTGTAAGGCAACCTGTTTGTACTCATCGGTGGGAACTATGAATAGAGGTGGTGAATGATATCTGTTTATCCATGGAATTGGAACTTTGGGCAAATCATTTATTCAATACCTGAATGGTATATTTTTGATTTTGAATTTGATTTTTTTTCATATTTTTGGTACATGTATTTGGAATCCTCCAGAATGTGAATGGTGCCAATCTCTTTTTTTTCAGTGCAGATATTTGTGTTCCATAGAATTAATTAATGACTGCAAAGTATCTATCGCCATGGTAAATATGCAGAGTATGTTATATGTACAGCTTGGTGAAAATACTGATAACTACGAAAGAAAAAAGCAAAAAAGCTGAAATATTCTTTTCAGTGTGATATTCCTGAAAACAGTTTTGCATACACTTGAACAGTGGTAATTTTAATTGGATTTTTCAGGCCAAAACACAATATCCAAAAATGGTGGTTGTTACTCAGAGATAAAGTGGTATCTCAAAGCATTGGTGAATCCACTGGAAGAGCACTAGTCTTAACTCCAGAAATATTACAGAGTGGATTTACCTAAAAAAAGTCTTAATTTATGAAGGATCTGAGAGAACATTCTGATCTTCCAGAGTTACTGCCCTTCATTTCACTCTGTTAGTGCCTCTGATGTATCCTGCCACTTTTTTTGGACCGAGGCTTGATCATGTGATCCATCTGAGCCAGACAGTTTTATGTTACATTGTCATGAAATAGGGATCACATGGGACTCTACCAAACAGAGCTTACCTATCATACACTGTTCGGTTTGAGATAATGGTGAAGAACAAACTTTATTATTAGACTCTGCATTAATATTTTCCAATTAGATTTGACAAAGTGTTAATTTTCTAATAAATCATTTATATATAACAATATACCAATATGGATTAGAACAGTCTCAACACTACAGTATTGTTCAAACATCAACTGCTAAATAATGTGCAGTTACCCATAAATATTGATAATATTATTCAATTTTTAGAACCATATTAAAACACATATGACATCATTCACAGGATGTTCATTATTATATCATCTGAAGGATGATTTAGAATCGTTCATTTGATTAAAAAGAAGTGTGCTTGTCAGTAATGGACAATGAAACATATTTTTAATGAGGTCATAGACTTAGGATGTATCATGTATACGTTTATTCTATAGATACATAGATGAACATACATATAAGTATGTGATGGAAATGTTATCAAAGCTTAGTAAGTTGGTGACACTTTTACCCAGAAAGATATTAATTGTTGGAAGTATTTTATATATCTATATATAGACAGCTGTTATAGAATACTGTGACCAGTGGTCATGAAAGTGATTGGTTGATTCCATGATGTAATGCATTATTAAGAAATAGTCTCTCTCTTAACTCATTTAAGGATGTTTAAGTGATTTTTATGTGCTTGAACAAACTTGGATATAATTCTATATACAAGTCTGTGGTGCTTTTGATTAAACAAATGGAAAGGGCGAGCCTCTGTTAAGGATTAGTATCTAATACAAGTGATATCTGACCATCTATCTGTCTTATCCAGATGAATTCACAGTCCAATTAACTAATGACTGTCAAAGTGTGACACCTAGTCCCCTTGGACTGTTGTAGCCATGGTGATAACAAATAACAAAGACTTCCTATTGGAAATTACTTGTTAAGAATTACAGGCTAAGAACTTTCTCATTGCAAGATCTTCAATAAGAATGAAATGTACTCTTGCCTTTGAAATTCCAACTGTATTGGCTATGCATCTCTGTAAAACTCGCGTGTCAGTCATAACAATATCATGGACTTTATTGACCATTTCCGAGGTTGCGACAGTGACAGGCCTTTCAGGATAGGCATCATCCCCAAGGCTATGCACCACCCACCTTTTCACTGCAGCATATGAAAAGGCATCGTCCTTAGAGTTGCTACCATATCAGCATGGATTTCCATAGGTGATACACTTTTCTTACGCAAATATTGAATCACTGCTCTTTCAGTGATTTTGTCCATTTTGCAAAAGTCACTTGCCTTGTTAAGAGTGCCACCTCTTTGACATAAAGTGACCAAATGACATCATTCTTCAGTTACACAACTTTAAATATTCAGAGAATAGTAGAGCTGAAAAAGGACATCCCTTTTTAATTTCCTCAATACAAGGCTGACATTTTATCAATCAGCCTTCATAGTTATATTTAACAGTTGCTGTTCAAGTCTGTTTGGTCACTTCATAAAGTTTTGAAGGATGAAAGTTGTTAATTAAAGGTTGAGTAGGAAATGGCCTAGCCAATATTGGCCTGATAATCTACTTAAAACTCGGAGAACAGTTTATGTTAAGCAACTCTCATTGCACTGGAAACATCAAAATCAAAAATAAATTTCAATTTTACTTTTTGAAATTTCTTTTGCAGTTTCCGTTGTCTGGCCAGTAGCGTCAACTTTTCCCTTCAAAGGAATTTTTCTCAATAACCAATAGGTCTAGTGTACTGATATTAGGCCTGTGTCTTATATACAAGCGTGCCTGTCTATGATAGGTTGTCTTCCAACTGGTCACTTATAATATAAGTCTGCACACCTTTGCATCTTAAGTAACCACTTCACCATCTACATCCTCTTTCTTCTTTCCATCTCTAGGGCTACATTAGTTTAATGAAAAATGGTCAGCGTTTGTGATATGATGTTGCTATACATTAAGACCTGATAAAAACTCAGGATTTTTTTTAACAGTAGTAGTTGTACGAGCCTTATTATTGAAATGCTACATGAATCAGCATGTTAAAATCAATAAAAGATACCTACAGGTAGCTTTGATCCTGTCCCGTCTTTTCAAACTTTGTGGCACCATAAAATGTCATTTTCTTTGGTAATGTTGTGTTAAATTTCCTTTGTAATGTTCAAATAAAATATGTTTTTGTTAAAAAGAAAAAAATTCTACATACTGAATTTGTGCAAAACTGTGCAAAAACATTTCGGAAGTATTAGGAGATTCTTTTTTGTATACTGGACGTACATATGCTTGTGGAATATTTTTACATAAAGTCACTTTAAGACTTAAAGATTTGATGTTTATATATATACTAATATTAGTAGACATTTTCAAATTTAATATTTGAACTATTTAATGTTTTAAGTGTTATATGCTACTTTCAGAGCCATTGTTCTCTATATATTTGTCTTTCCATATGACTTGTGTGAGATTTGTGTCATGATATCGATGTATTGTTGTTCTAGTGGTAACAGAAACTGATTCAGTGTATAGAAATGTTTCCATCTTGGTTATGTTATATCGCCAGTTAAATTACGTCTGTAGCTATAGGATCATCCATGCCAATCTTCCATGGTACGGAATTAAAAAATAAAATAATTTTATCATCACAAATATTGTTAGTGTGTCTGTGTTTCCCAGGCTTTGATAACAGTGTATTCAGTTTCATGTAATACACACATAACACTACATCTGAAGTTGCTGAATGGTCAACAGATTCCAAACAGAAAGTTGATTTAGTTAAAACAATATTTTTATTAAATATTCAACAATATAACACATAAAAGGGTAAATATTAATTCCTTTCCCAAATAAGTTACTGAATCATGTCTTGGTCAGCATTTATTTGGACAGATCAATATCATAACAAAGGTAAAAGATCAATTTTGAGCACACTGCATACTATCAGCTTAAATTACAACTTCATCACCAATTCACCTTTTAGATTTTAACTAAATTTTTGAATTCTGACTTGGATCACTTTCTGATTTAGCCTGAATTTGGTCTCCATTCTTGGTTGAAGAGGAGTGAATTCTGTATAAACAGTGCATCCCAGCAATTTTTATGAAAATGAATTTGACCTCTGTTTGACCACAAGGGTGGGACCCAATAGGGAAATTTTTTGTCATATTAGAAATTCTTTATTAAATGGCTGAATAGCTAAATTATCTAGGTGAGTGATGCAGGCCCCTTTGGCCTCTTGTTATATTTTTCCTTCACAAAGATAAGAGTCCAACAAAGCTTTAGAAAAATTGCTGTCCCTATTAAATTTCATTTCATAAAATTATTTTTTATTTTTCTTTTTTGCTGATTTTGAACGCTGTGCAGTCAAGTCACTCAATTTTTTGTCCAGTTTCCTATGGAGAGCAGCCTGTCGGGCAGGATCTGGTGGAGGTGGTTTGGTAGCACTGCTACAATACAAAACACCTTTCTTAACATGCATAGAACGTGCCTGAGCCTTAGCCACCTCTCCACACCCGTGAATCTCCGGAATATGGTGAGACAAACAGAAACGTCTCATACAAAACTCACACTGTTGACCCAGGGTCTTCACTTTCACTTTACATTTTGTGAAGCCACAAACTTCATCAAGTTTCTGAGCTGCAGCTAGCAATCCATCAAAGTCAGCTGCATCCACTTTTTCAATTTTGGCAGTAGCACTTGGTGGAGACAGCTTTTTTATACCATTTTGTTGTTTTACCGTGACCTTAGCTGAAGTGCCCTGAGACTTTTTATTTGCTTTTGCAGAGCATTCTCTTCTTGAACAATGGATTTCATGTAGGCTGAAGTTGGCCTTGATGACATCTTTACTACAGTGAGGACAAACTAACTTGTCACTTTTTTTTCCCTCCTGCTGCGTTGACTTTTCCTCTAAAGGTTCAATACTTTTAGTCTCTTCTGTTTCATTTCTCAACTGATGACTAGAAGTCTTTGTTGTCTTAGATTGAACCTGACCACCAGGTTTGGACACAACAATGAACCTCTCCTTATCTTCTCCCTTGCTGACATGAGTTAGAGACAGCTTCCCTGCTAGCTGTAAGAAGGAGAAAATCATTACATCAATGGAAATTCTCCAAGACACTGACTATTACAAACATCAATTTGCCACCTGGATAAGAGTTCTCCCAATTTTCAAAAAATATTTTACACTGTTGAGAAAGAGTTCAATACATATAAAACCTTTTCAAATGCAAGTAGAATGCATATCCCGTATTTACCAATTAAAAACAATTGATTCACAAATTTAAACAAGCCTCTCAGATTTGTGGAATGTGTCCTAGCTTATATACATACTTCATGCACCAGCATTCTCTCAAAAGATGTGAGTGTAGCTGGGAACTCCATACAATCCACTTCAGTATTGGCAACAAACTTTTCTAGGATCTCCCTATACTTCTGTGTTTTCTGCTCTGTAATCACTTCATCACTGAAATGAAACATTCAGTCTAAAAATAAAATACTTCATTTTAATTGTTGAACAGCATAATAACAATGCCTCTTGTTAATTGGTGCCACATGAACAAACTAAAAGAACAAAAAGAAATTTTCTGATTGCTTATTTTGACAAATTGAAATACTTTTTTCATTATCTTTTGAAAAATACATAAACAAGAGGCTTTGCCTGTTATTCAATCCAATTTGACGTTTACATCTTGTCAATAAAATTTGTTGAAATGAAAAAATGAAATGAACAAGAGGCCTGCATCGCTCACTTTGCTATATTAGCTATTCAGTCATTTAATAAAAAAATTCAAATTTGATTAATAATCTCTCACCCTAGGGGGCTGGGATGACCTGTTTATACAGAAATGGTTCCCATTCACCAAAGAATACAGAACCAAAAATCCAAGCATTGCTACAGGAGGAGTAGGATTTCAAAGATTACTCTATGTCCCCTCTTGAGCCCCACTCCTCCCGCCCCAGGGGGCTAAAAACCTTATGTTTACACAAGATCATTTCCCTTCATCCAAGAAATTCTTCAGACTAAATTTGGGGAAAATCCATTCATTCCTATAGGAGGAGTAGGTTTTTTAAAGACTTTACTGTATTTCCCCTTTGGAGCCCCACTCTTCCTTCCCTATGGGGCCAAGACTTGCAGTGTAAACAAAACTGATTCCCCTTCCCTAACAATGCTCTGAACTAAATTTGGCCAAAATTCTATTATTCCTACAGGAGGAGCCTGATTTTAAAGAATTGCTGAATTTCCCCTATTTGGCCCTGCCTCTCCTGCTCCAACGGGTCAAGACCTTCTGTCTATACAAAAGTGATTACCCTTCATCCAACAATGCTTGAGACTAAAATAAGGCAAAATCCAATCATTCCTACAGGAGGAGTGGGATTTCAAAGAAATTGCTAAATTACACTTATTGGGTCATGCCCTCTCACTCCAAGGGGCTGAGACCCACCATTTATACAAAATATGTTCTTCTTCCCCTAAGGATGCTTCTGACAAAATTTGGTCAAAATCTGCTTGGTCTTTCATGACTAGTAGTGATTTGTAGAAAAAGTTGACAGAGGGACAGACAATGGATGCCTTGGGATGTCAAACTGATTCATTTTATGGCCTAACTAGTTAACCTGATCAACTGAATGGTTTACCTGATGTCATCATTGGTTAACCCAGTGGCCTGGTTGGTTAACATGATGACCTGACTGGTTTACCTAATGACCTGACTGGTTTACCTGATTGGTAAACTGGTTTACCTGATGACCTGACTGGTTAACCTAATGACCTGACTGGTTTACCTGAATGCTAAACTGGTTTACCTGATGACCTGACTGGTTTACCAGATTGCCTAACTGGTTTACCTGATGACCTGACTGGTTTACCAGATTGCCTCACTGGTTTACCTGATGACATGACAGGTTTACCTGATGACCTGACTGGTTTACCAGATTGCCTAACTGGTTTACCTGATGACATGACAGGTTTACCTGATGACCTGATTGGTTTACCAGATTGCCTAACTGGTTTACTTGATGACCTAACTGGTTTAACTGATGACCTGACTGGTTTACCAGATTGCCTAACTGGTTTACCTGATGACCTGACTGGTTTACCAGATTGCCTAACTGGTTTACCTGATGACCTGACTGGTTTACCAGATTGCCTAACTGGTTTATCTGATGACCTGACTGGTTTATCAGATTGCCTAACTGGTTTACCTGATGACCTGACTGGCTTACCAGATTGCCTAACTGGTTTACCTGATGACCTGACTGGTTTACCAGATTGCCTAACTGGTTTAACTGATGACCTGACTGGTTTACCAGATTGCCTAACTGGTTTACCTGATGACATGACAGGTTTACCTGATGACCTGACTGGTTTACCAGATTGCCTAACTGGTTTACCTGACGACCTGACTGGTTTACCAGATTGCCTAACTGGTTTACCTGATGACATGACAGGTTTACCTGATGACCTGACTGGTTTACCAGATTGCCTAACTGGTTTACCTGATGACATGACAGGTTTACCTGATGACCTGACTGGTTTACCAGATTGCCTAACTGGTTTACCTGATGACCTGACTGGTTTACCAGATTGCCTAACTGGTTTATCTGATGACCTGACTGGTTTACCAGATTGCCTAACTGGTTTAACTGATGACCTGACTGGTTTACCAGATTGCCTAACTGGTTTACCTGATGACATGACAGGTTTACCTGATGACCTGACTGGTTTACCAGATTGCCTAACTGGTTTACCTGATGACATGACAGGTTTACCTGATGACCTGACTGGTTTACCAGATTGCCTAACTGGTTTACCTGATGACATGACAGGTTTACCTGATGACCTGACTGGTTTACCAGATTGCCTAACTGGTTTACCTGATGACATGACAGGTTTACCTGATGACCTGACTGGTTTACCAGATTGCCTAACTGGTTTACCTGATGACATGACAGGTTTACCTGATGACCTGACTGGTTTACCAGATTGCCTAACTGGTTTACCTGATGACATGACAGGTTTACCTGATGACCTGACTGGTTTACCAGATTGCCTAACTGGTTTACCTGATGACATGACAGGTTTACCTGATGACCTGATTGGTTTACCAGATTGCCTAACTGGTTTACCTGATGACCTAACTGGTTTACCTGATGACCTGACTGGTTTACCAGATTGCCTAACTGGTTTACCTGATGACCTGACTGGTTTACCAGATTGCCTAACTGGTTTACCTGATGACCTGACTGGTTTACCAGATTGCCTAACTGGTTTTACCTGATGACCTGACTGGTTTACCAGATTGCCTTACTGGTTTACCTGATGACCTGACTGGTTTACCAGATTGCCTAACTGGTTTACCTGATGACCTGACTGGTTTACCAGATTGCCTAACTGGTTTAACTGATGACCTGATTAGTTTACCAGATTGCCTAACTGGTTTAACTGATGACCTGATTGGTTTACCAGATTGCCTAACTGCTGGTTAACATGATGACCTAACTGGTTTACCTGATGGCCTGACTGGTTCACCAGATTGCCTAACTGGTTTACCTGATTACCTGATTGGTTTACCAGATTGCCTTACTGGTTTACCTGATGACCTGATTGGTTTGCCAGATTGCCTAAGTGGTTTACTTCCTGAATGGGTTACCTGATGGCCTGAATAGTTTGCCCATTTTTTGTACTAATGTCTTACCTTAGATGTGTCTTGCTGTCTCTGTTTCTCTGATCCCTTGAAGAACCAATGGCAGATACTGTTTTACTACTGTCAGAACTGTGAGTCTGTTTAGGTTTGGACACCGATGATTTTGGCCTGGCTGCAGATCCCTTACTCTTTTTAACCGAGTTCAATTTCAAGAGATCATCAAGATGTTCAGGACGAATATTTTTGTTGTTGAAAATTCCAGCTAAAAAGTAGAAAAATAAATAAAAATAAACATTTTGCTTTAAACAAGTTGAAATATATTTACAATGACAATACATTAAATGAACTTATTCATAATGAATTGTAAACATCATTCTGATTTTTCATCCCCACATATGTTTTAATCTCATGTTAAGATACAAGGTCACAAATTTGTCATGCTAATCTGCAAGAGGCTCAGACTTGGATTTGGTTGACAAAGTCAGCACAAAGGAGGAAGCATTAATTTCAACTGGACCTTTTTTTACCCTAACCTACCTTTACAGTCTTAAATGAAGTTTTATAGTACTCAAACAAAGAGAAGTTAGGTCTGAGAGCAGGCTTTGAAAGTTTTAAACAATTATGACACTGGCAAGGAATCCTAGCTAACATGTTAACTAAAACAAGAGGCCCATAGGGCCTGTATTGCTCATCTTGATCTTAAAAGCTAAGCAAGGGTATACAAGCCTACAGGTTAGGTATTTCAAATATTTCCATATCAAATCTCAGTAACTTAACCTGTTTAATGGAGAAAGACCAATGGGTAAATTCTTATATCATTACCGTCTTTTTCTTTTGATGCCGAGTAAGAGTTTTTATGGTTATTGGATTGGAATTTGACCCAGTGTAAGGCAGTAGTAACGCAGTTGATTTGCAGGCTAACTTACATAATCTGCAGTAGTGTTAGTATTATTTATTGTGTTGAGACTACTAAAACCTCTGCAGTTTGTACAAGAATCATTGGAGAAAGTAACAAAAAGGATTCTGCATGCCTCTGGCCAACTACTGCAATTCCACTGCAATAGTCTACTGCTAACTTATTAACATGCTCCTGAATTGCAACAGGGAATTCATAAGGGGGTTTTAAAGAATTTGTCCTATTTCCCCTTTTGCACTCCTTCTCTCCCATCCTTGGGGAAAGACTGATCATTCACACAAAATTGATTGCCCTTTTCCCAAGAATGCTTCACGCCAAATTTGATTAAAAACTAATCATCGAATGGACAAAGGGATGGACAGAAACAAACATTATAATCCCCTTCTGTTTCACTAATAAGTCATTTGGAGTAACTGATGGTTTCATTAAGGCCCTGTAGAATCAGCAACAAATAAACATCTTATAGTATAGATGATAATACACAACAATACAATACAGTGTGTACAATAGCTACGGAGCGTGTAAGTGTGATAGTAGGATTTTTTTTTCCGTGTCAAAATCCCGAAAGTTTTAGACAAAGTTACTTACAATCTATGTAGTCCTGAGCTGTCTGCACCTCTCCATGTGATCCCAGATAATCTACCAAAGACTTGAGAAAGTTGTTATGTGAAACTGTCTCAGTGTCACAAATCACTGCCAGGTGGCGCCGGGCTCTGGTCACTGCTACATTTATTCTCCTATATTCTGACAGAAATCCAACTTCACCTGAAAAGATGCCACAAAAAATATTAATCTAGATGAAATACCCTTCAGAATATTTTTGAAATCAAACATCCAAGAGCAACTGATGGGTTACAGCAAAATCAAGAGTGACTCTTGGCTTGGTTTCATACCCCATCAACAGCCAGGGTCTGGGGTGACTGATGCCTGGGATTACTTCCCCATCAACAGTCAGGGTCTGGAGTGACTGATGCCTGGGATTACTTCCCCATCAACAGCCAGGGTCTGGAGTGACTGATGCCTGGGATTACTTCCCCATCAACAGCCAGGGTCTGGAGTGACTGTTGGCTGGGATTACTTCCCCATCAACAGCCAGGGTCTGGAGTGACTGATGCCTGGGATTACTTCCCCATCAACAGTCAGGGTCTGGAGTGACTGATGCCTTGGATTACTTCCCCATCAACAGCCAGGGTCTGGAGTGACTGATGCCTGGGATTACTTCCCCATCAACAGTCAGGGTCTGGAGTGACTGATGCCTGGGATTACTACTCATCAACAGCCAGGGTCTGGAGTGACTGATGCCTGGGATTACTTCCCCATCAACAGCCAGGGTCTGGAGTGACTGATGCCTGGGATTACTTCCCCATCAACAGTCAGGGTCTGGAGTGACTGATGCCTGGGATTACTTCCCCATCAACAGCCAGGGTCTGATGAGTGACTGATGCCTGGGATTACTTCCCCATCAACAGCCAGGGTCTGGAGTGACTGACTGGGATTACTTCCCCATCAACAGCCAGGGTCTGGAGTGACTGATGCCTGGGATTACTTCCCCATCAACAGCCAGGGTCTGGAGTGACTGATGCCTGGGATTACTTCCCCATCAACAGCCAGGGTCTGGAGTGACTGATGCCTGGGATTACTTCCCCATCAACAGCCAGGGTCTGGAGTGACTGATGCCTGGAGTGGGATTACTTCCCCATCAACAGCCAGGGTCTGGAGTGACTGATGCCTGGGATTACTTCCCCATCAACAGCCAGGGTCTGGAGTGACTGATGCCTGGGATTACTTCCCCATCAACAGTCAGGGTCTGGAGTGACTGATGCCTGGGATTACTTCCCCATCAACAGCCAGGGTCTGGAGTGACTGATGCCTGGGATTACTTCCCCATCAACAGTCAGGGTCTGGAGTGACTGATGCCTGGGATTACTTCCCCATCAACAGCCAGGGTCTGGAGTGACTGATGCCTGGGATTACTTCCCCATCAACAGCCAGGGTCTGGAGTGACTGATGCCTGGGATTACTTCCCCATCAACAGCCAGGGTCTGGAGTGACTGATGCCTGGGATTACTTCCCCATCAACAGTCAGGGTCTGGAGTGACTGATGCCTGGGATTACTTCCCCATCAACAGCCAGGGTCTGGAGTGACTGATGCCTGGGATTACTTCCCCATCAACAGCCAGGGTCTGGAGTGACTGATGCCTGGGATTACTTCCCCATCAACAGCCAGGGTCTGGAGTGACTGATGCCTGGGATTACTTCCCCATCAACAGCCAGGGTCTGGAGTGACTGATGCCTGGGATTACTTCCCCATCAACAGCCAGGGTCTGGAGTGACTGATGCCTGGGATTACTTCCCCATCAACAGCCAGGGTCTGGAGTGACTGATGCCTGGGATTACTTCCCCATCAACAGCCGGGGTCTATAGTGACTGATGCCTAGGATTACTTTCCCATCAACAGCCAGGGTCTGGAGTGACTGATGCCTGGGATTACTTCCCCATCAACAGCCAGGGTCTGGAGTGACTGATGCCTGGGATTACTTCCCCATCAACAGTCAGGGTCTGGAGTGACTGATGCCTTGGATTCTACTCCATCAACAGCCAGGGTCTGGAGTGACTGATGCCTGGGATTACTTCCCCATCAACAGCCAGGGTCTGGAGTGACTGATGCCTGGGATTACTTCCCCATCAACAGTCAGGGTCTGGAGTGACTGATGCCTGGGATTACTTCCCCATCAACAGCCAGGGTCTGGAGTGACTGATGCCTTGGATTCTACTCCATCAACAGCCAGGGTCTGGAGTGACTGATGCCTGGGATTACTTCCCCATCAACAGCCAGGGTCTGGAGTGACTGATGCCTGGGATTACTTCCCCATCAACAGCCAGGGTCTGGAGTGACTGATGCCTTGGATTCTACTCCATCAACAGCCAGGGTCTAGAGTGACTGATGCCTGGGATTACTTCCCCATCAACAGCCAGGGTCTAGAGTGACTGATGGCTGGGATTACTTCCCCAACAACAGTCAGGGTCTGGAGTGACTGATGCCTGGGATTGGTTCCCCAACAATTGCCAGGGTCTGGATGGTTGACATGTTCCCTGACGTTCACTATGAGATGTAGGGGGTGTGTTCTCTTGATTTACATTATTACAATGAGATGGCTATATGTGTATACTGGCATTTAGAAAAGCAACTTGTGTTTTGAAGCAAAACAGATTCGGGTGTAGGTCTGTTATGTTTTGTGGAGGAATTTTCCATCGTATAACGACACCTTTAGTGATCATGAATTAGCATTTAATGTCGGTACACTATCAAGAAGACATCCTGAGGCCCCATGTTGTGTCTTTTATTATAGGCACCATTTGACCTTTCAGCATGGCCAGAAGTTACAAAACTTTCTTGCAACCCAGAACGTCCCTATTGATTGGCCTCCATATAGCCCTAATTTGTCCCCAGTGGAGGACTTGCATAATGAATTAAGTAAAAGAGTTCGGAATTCAGCAAACATTCCCATATTTCCGTACCTCTCCTGTTACTTCTGACCAGTGTTATGATGACAGCTTCTTTCTCACGTCCTTGAAAACCATCCACTGACTTGATCTCCACATCTGGATAATTAGGGCAGATTCTGAGGCGTAACAGCTCCACCTATATTCATATGTGACAAGTCTAAATAAGATTTCATTTAAATCTTGCATTAAGAGGATGGGATTGGTTTCATAATGTTGAAATTCATAATTAATTCTCTACTATCAGTTCATTCATTAAAGTCTTTTTGAATTCAACTGTAGCCTCAAAAGAAACATAAACAATATTGTGAGTTTATAAGGTTGGACTTTCATTAATTCAAATGTTCTATATTACAGACACCTCAACAGGTGTTGCTGAATTGTCTGTCACAATGTCAATTGTATTTTCTGAATTACCTGTAAGTTGTAGGGAGCTATGACTGCTATCTCCTGCTGTTTTACACCTGTCATAATCAGCCTGTCAACATGACTACAGACTATATCTGCCTCTCCTGCAAAAGATACATGGGTCTCAGAAATATAGCTACTGTATCATGTGTTTTAACATCAGATTTCTTGGTCTCAGAAATATAGCTACTGTATCATGTGTTTTAACATCAGATTTCTTGGTCTCAGAAATATAGCTACTTTATTGTGTGAAACTACTTTATTGTGTGTTTTAAACATCAGATTTCTTTATTGTGTTGGTCTCAGAAATATAGCTACTTTATTGTGTGTTTTAACATCAGATTTCTTGGTCTCAGAAATATAGCTACTTTATTGTGTGTTTTAACATCAGATTTCTTGGTCTCAGAAATATAGCTACTTTATTGTGTGTTTTAACATCAGATTTCTTGGTCTCAGAAATATAGCTACTTTATTGTGTGTTTTAACATCAAATTTACCTAATTGTGTTGAGCCCTAGTGAGTGAAGATTCCTACAACAAATTACTGCCGAGACTAGCACATCAGTTTTTCATCTAATATTTTTGTGTCTATTTCTAAGTTTAAGAAAATTTCATGAAAACAAAAGCAGGAGGCCATGAATTAAAAATACTTTTCTTTGAACTTTTCACAAACTAATCTGTGTCAAGTGTTACTGTGTATGATTAAGCATAATGGATCTATCAGGTTATTTTCAACAAGTGAACAGTCACCGGAGTTACAATGCTTCTTTAACATGTCACAGAAATGTTTTTGTTTAAAGTAAAAGTAAGAAAACTTTAACTGCATTGTACACATAATGCAAGCTGCAAAACATTAACTGCTGTTCCATGCTAAAACTTCTAACCAAGTCTGATTAAATGAAATTAAACTCAAATATTGTATTTCCTCTATAAAATCTTCGATCCATGAAGAGTTGGAACATCGTTGGCCCATTTTTGGCCCCATCCATCTGCCCCTGGGGGTCAGCCGAGGTTAAAATGTGCATCTCATTGAACCATCAGCTTATACTGATAATTCTAACCCAGACTGAATGAAAAAAGAAAATTAACATATTATGCTCAAAAATATAATTTCCCTATATACACTATAGTAAGTCTCACCTTTTCCCCAAGCAGAAATGTGAGAACCTGGGGTCATGAAATTCACAATTTTGGTAAAGCACCATTAGGCACTTTCATCATGAGGAGTATATAATTCTACTTTATCTGGGTATTGAAAAGGAGATTTTTTAAATTTCATATTAATCATGACTAACCTTCGTTTCCCTTAGATATTTCCTCAGGTGTGTCCATCTCAGATAAGTCACAACCAGCTGTGTCAATTAACAGTAGGGGCATGCTGGCTATCTCCTCCTCTGCATTTACAGCCTCCAAGTCACTATAAATATAGAAAAGTGTTGTATTTTAACTAAGCAATCTGGCCTACTCATTCTCATAGTCTCCAAGTCACTTCAAATATTGGGTTATATATACTGTGTTTTAACTAAAACAAGCTGGTCAGCTTCAGAGTATTCACAGCCTCCGTGTCACTACTAAGACAAGTGCTTTACAAACTGACCTTACCTATAACCACAGAATGTTTGTAAAATGTAATGACTCTGTTCCTAACGAAAAAATAGATCACCTAACAAAAATTTTAGTTGTTATACATCATATCAAAATGTGTGAAAAAAATTGTCTTAAACCAATGCAAGTGCATACACTAGCAGGTTGTACCTAAATATTGTACATTATTGACCATTTGTTTAAAGGACATAACTCCAAGGGTTCTGCTCACATTCTGAAAACAAGAGGCCCACAGTCCTTAAAGGTCATCTGACTATAAAGACCTATCTCGAAAAGGCCAAAAAGACCAAAAATAAATTGCTCAGATACTCTACAGATTTCAAAGAGACATTGTTGGTTCAGAAAATCATTTTAGAAATACACAGAACTTGAATTTATTCTCTAATATAACAAACATTCCATGTTAATAACAAAACCCTAGAGTATGTCCCAATAACTGCTGACATGTTAATAATGACATGTTAATAACAAAACCCTAGAGTATGTCCCAATAACTGCTGACATGTTAATAACAAAACTAGAGTATGTCCCAATAACTGCTGACATGTTAATAACAAAACCCTAGAGTATGTCCCAATAACTGCTGACATGTTAATAACAAAACCCTAGAGTATGTCCCAATAACTGCTGACATGTTAATAACAAAACCCTAGAGTATGTCCCAATAACTGCTGACATGTTAATAACAAAACCCTAGAGTATGTCCCAATAACTGCTGACATGTTAATAACAAAACCCTAGAGTATGTCCCAATAACTGCTGACATGTTAATAACAAAACCCTAGAGTATGTCCCAATAACTGCTGACATGTTAATAAAAAAACCCTAGAGTATGTCCCAATAACTGCTGACATGTTAATAACAAAACCCTAGAGTATGTCCCAATAACTGCTGACATGTTAATAACAAAACCCTAGAGTATGTCCCAATAACTGCTGACATGTTAATAACAAAACCCTGGAGTATGTCCCAATAACTGCTGACATGTTAATAATTGTCCGTCTTCCACTGACCTGAGAAGATGACCAGCCACTGTAGGGTGAGCTGTCAGTTTGCTGTGATAGATTTGATCAGATGACCACTGCATGATTAGCTGGTGCATGCGGTACTGTGTGGTCAGCATGCGGACCACTTTGGTATGATAGAGGTCAATTATCCTTTCCATCAAGGTTACTTCCAGCCCGTCTTTGGCTGCTCTGAAAATACAATGTTAGTGAAAAAAGGAACAGTTAACTCCATAATAACATTGTTATATTGTAATAATCAACAAGAGGCCCAATGGACCTGCAACACTTACCTGGTGAATATATACCAGCCAAATATGCCTATAAGCCTTTTAGCTCATGGAAAGAAGTTTAAATAAGGTATTAAATTTAACCCCTGTGACCTGAATATAAGTAAAAGTTATTTACTTTCGCTTACTTTATCGGGCTTCATCCTAGAAAAATCAAAGCTAAATATAATGCCTCTAGGCTTTTTAGTTCAGGAGAAGAAGTGTTAAGAAGTTTGACCCCTGTCACCATTTACATACATAAAGGTCATTTCTTTTTGCAAAACTTGTCAAGCTTTATCCAAGGAACATACCAGCCAAATATCAAAACATTTAGTCCATTGGTTATTGAAAAGAAGTTGTTTGAAGGAAAAAGTTGACACTGGACGCCAGATGACAGACCGACACCGACAGACACGGCATTACCACATAAGCTCATTTGGCCCTTAAATTGAGTTAACAATAATGTAACTTTTGTTGACTATCGCTGTGCATAGGGCATATTCACCCTTTTGGCAATAAAGCAAAACTAACAGGTGGGCTAAAGTAGGATATTAATACAGAAAGATCTCAATTTTAACAGGTGTCAAGAAAAATAAGACAGCAGCAGTAAAGAAAACCATAGAGAAGTGCTTGTATACAGCATTTGTATGTCATTATGGCTGATAAATTGGCATCCTGCTAAATTTTAACATTTAGCAGCATAACATTCGCATTAATGTAAAGAAAGTAGTGCTACATTTCAAAAAAGTGAAGTGAAAAAACTTGGATCCATCAAGACTTTGAATCATTCCTGGTTGGTTATACTGATGGTTTCATGTTCATGACTATAGTTGATGACACAGTATTTCTATTCAAACAAATACCAAAACAAAAGTTTAAAAGAAATGAGGAATTTTTTTATCTTAAACAAAATATTTTCATTCATGAAACAAAAAACATGATCTTAAATAGAAATCAATGAGAAATGGACACGTGCTTATGTTTACATTTCTGCCTTTATGTCACATAGTTTATGTACTTTATGGATTGATATTAAATGCTGTATAGCATTACAGCCATCTTCAAAGTATTGTGCTCTGTCCTAAAATGACAGCACTCAATAAAATATCATTAGTTGCAAAAATTACAAGGCTGATTGCCAATGTCATGACAATGGCTAGCCTGAATCAATGGGAGAATGCATGATTGACAGACAAATCAATTGCATTTCTCATGCCTTTCTGCTTATAATTAATCCATAAATTAAACCAAACTATGTCTTATTACCGCAATGTCAGTGGTGAACATTACATGACATCTCATTATCTTTGATTAAAGGTCGTGTAAACATTACACGACATCCTATTATCTTTGATTAAAGGTCGTGTAAACATTACACGACATCCTATTATCTTTGATTAAATGTTGTGTAAACATTACATGACATCCTATTACATTTGATTAAAGGTCATGTAAACATTACATGACATCCTATTATCTTTGATTAAAGGTCGTGTAAACATTACATGACATCCTATTATCTTTGATTAAAGGTCGTGTAAACATTACATGACATCCTATTACATTTTATTAAAGGTCGTGTAAACATTACACGACACCCTATTATCTTTGATTAAAGGTCATGGCTTGTAAGTACTTTAACTTTAATCTGTGTTCAGACATAATTTTGTAACACAGAGCTTATGATAGTGGTCTATTGTCATTCCAATGTTAGGTAGCACTCTTTGTTCAAATGTGCGAAATTTTGCTGTGGGGCAAAAATACCTGTACATGACGGATTAATGTTTTGTTTGAATCAAGAGGTGTCAATGACTATAATAGCTAATGGTCCATGAAAAAACTTTGATATGTTGAAAAGGTTGATTGATAAAACTTTGATTTACAACGGGGTAAGTTAGTAATATATGGGGGTAAAATTGGGGACAGGCCATAAAAATTTGATACATTGAGAAATTTAAATCAAGGAAGTTTGATTCATAGAAGTTTGTTAGTATCAGAAAGGAATCTGTTGATATCCAATGAAATGCTCTTAGTATTGTGGTGATTTTATATAATACTCTACAGACGACTTGCCCCACTGGTACGAGTTGACAGTTGGTTGTATGTCAACTTGTCCCGAAGGTGTTGTGTAACAGTGCGTGCAACACATCGCCAGTTTGTGTTCAGTCATACCTACGATACAGACATGCTTTCACATTCTAGGTCTGACAACGAACCCCTTGCCGATTACGGCCTTTGTAGTCTATGACTATATATACCCTTAGTGTGTCCCACATTCCCTTATCTTACAACAGTATGGACACCAATATAGAATATACTGAGGGTACAAGTTACAGACAAGTCTCCAACAGTCAATCTATATGACATTCAGTAAGGTAAAATGTTACTTACTCCTGACTGAGGATGGTTGGAGGTAACTGCATGTGGTCCCCAGCTAGAACACATCGAGGGGCCCTCAGTAAGGGAATCCAACAAGCCACCTCAACTGCCTACAAACAAAGTAGAACACAGTATTAATTTATTGGAGTTATTGGTATCAACTCAAATTTTTTTCAGAACCTCTTAAAAGGAATCCAGCGAAACAAATTGGTCAAATTCTAAGTCTTTAATCACTTAGTGAAGCCTAAACATGATACACAGATATAAAAAATAAAACCCACCTGTGAACATTCATCAATGACAGTTAACTGAAAGTGATCTTTATCCAGAAATTTGACTGGTCCTTCTGGAGAAGCTGATGTCAGTGTTGCCAAGACAACATCTGCTCGTTTTAATATCTCTTTTGTTGCTGCTTGCTCACGCTGTGCCAATTCTTTCCGAAGGAATTTCATTTCTCCACGCAGTGCATGCTTCTCTCCTTTGTCTTTAGTTTTCTTCATCTGTGACTGGAAAGTAAAAAAAAAATTATATTTTCTTATTCTAATAATCTTGGTCACGAGGATGTCAAGTACAGATTTAAAAAACAAGAGGCCCATGGGATATCTGACTATAAAGACCTATATATGAAAGAGGCCAAATAGGCCTAAAAGAAATTGCTCAATTACACTACAGCTTACATAGAAGACATTGGTTGGTTCATAAAGACATTTTCTGCAAAGTTGAAATATTATTTAAACATGCACTACACAAATGCCATTACTTGGGACAAACTGCTTGTTGAAAGGCCCAATATCATGATCTTTGACCCTTTGCTTATGCATTTCAACACATTCGACCCCTGGGACCTTAAAAGCGAATCAAAGTCATTCATATTTACAAACGTTGTAGCCCTTAATACCATCATTCTACAGGCCCAATATTAGTACTCTGGGCCTTTTGGTTATTAAGAAGAAATCATTTAAATTTGACATATCTGACACATTTAACATTTAAAGTAGGTCAGGGTCATTTATATTAACAAACGTGGTAGCCCTTCATCCCATCATGCTACAGGATTTATATAAAATATTAGCACCCTTGGCCTTTTTGTTATTGAGAAGTTGCTTAAAGATTTGAACACATTTTACCCCAGTGACCTTAAAAGTGGGTCAAGGTCATTCAGTTTAACAAACTTGGTAGCACTTCATCCTAGCATGTTACAGGCACAATATCAGCACTATGGGCCTTTTGGTTATTGAGAAGAAGTTGAAAATGTAAATTGTTTATGATGCACAATGCACGCTAAATGCAGGTGACACTTGACAAAAGGTGATCGCAATAGGTCACTTGAAACTCTGTCTCTGTCTTGAAAACTTGTCTATTGCAAAATTGGTGTCCTCATTACTTTTGTAAATAAAATTTATTTGAAGGCATAAAATTAAAGATATACATATCCATGACAATATATTAAAATAAAAATGGGGCAAAGTCACAATTGTTGAGTATGTAGAGTATTTGTTATAAGAGAGAAAGTTTGTCTGTATTTTATGAATTGGTGCAGAAGAAGGGCATTTGAAGAAAGAAGTTGCAGCCATTTTTTATTCGGAGATGTTAAGAAATAGACAATGGACATCTACAGCCCCAAGGTGATTTATATGTGGAATTTCAGAAAAATTCTTGTAGTAATTTCTGAGAAACTGTGATAACAAGAAAAGTTTCAGAAAATGACGAAGTTAAATATCTTCTAAAGTTTCAAGCATCTACGTTAAAAACTCTAGGAGGAGTTGATTATACAAAACTGGTACCCCTTTTCCCCGCCCACCTGCCCGACATTCACCATACTGTAAGCCCGGATTTGCACCATGTGCAACCCGGCCAACTAGATAGTAACTTTTCATGACTTTAACAATAAAATGTACTTGAAAAGGAAATATATTCCAAAATGGTGTCCATACATAAACAGCTGTTTTATCTTCTCCTTTATTGGTCAGGATGCAACGTCATTTCATGGGAAATCTACTACATCATGATGTTTCATCTTGTTTTAGATTTCAAACAATGGTTGTCCTGGACGTAACAAATATTTTATGATGCCGAATTCTGCCTCATATGCATAGAAACAAGCATACCATCCCCTGAATATGTATAATCTTACTACGGTTAAATCTAAAATTCATGAAATATCAACAAGCTACCAACTATCTGAGGATTACTGACAGATCTAACCCTCGTCACTTTCTAACCATGTAGTACTTTGAATATGAAAAAGTTGTTATATTACCCAAGCTTTATCAATATCCTTTCGTACATCTTCTACCAACTTAGTTTCCTCACTGTTTGCTAAGATGGCATCTAGGGAGTATTTCTGAATGTGTGGAAGAACTCGTGCAGGATGTCCAAGTCGTACAATTTTCAGTTTGTTTTTGGCAAGTCTCTCCACCAGATTGTCTACAGCGATGTTTGAGGGGGTGCACACAAATACCTGTAAGATATGTCAATAATCAGACAGAACAATGTATAGACCATCATTTTTATCAGTACACCATACTATATCTCACTAATATCTAACGTGGCAAACAAGGAAGAAATATTTTCTAGTATTATACCCGATATTCAACAAAGGCCCAATGGGCCTGCAGTACTCACTTAGCATTTATTGGGTAAAAAATGGTCAAATTTGAGAACAGTTTCACAGTTGCATATTTTAAATGGTTACTATGTCTACCATAGCTGCAATAACAAATAGAAAAATTAACCCCAGTGACATTGAACCTAGGTCAGGGTCATTTCCTTTCACAAACTTTGTCAGGCTTCATCCCAAGAACACACCAGCCAAATTTGACCTGTGGCCTTTGAACATAGGTCAAGGTTTATTATTTTTCCAAACTTTTTTGGGCTTCATCCTAGAAACATACCAGCCAAATATCATGCCTTTAGGCCTTTTACTTATTAAGAAGAAATTTTTTAAAGGTTTTAACAAATCTGATCCCTATGACCTTATATATAGCTCAAGGTAATTTTGTCTGGCAAACTTTTTGGGCTTCATCCTAGGAACATACCAGAAGTTCTTTAAAGGAAAAAGTTAACACTGAATGACAGACTGATGATGGCCTGGTGAGCTAATAAATCATACCATTTAAATGGAATATCAAATTATTGTCTATACCCAAATGACATTACCTATTGTATATTAGTACTGACAACAACGTGAAATATGAATACTTACAATTTATTACATATCCTCATTTAATTTTATATCAAGACTAACTTCTCCGATAGGTTTCAACAGACATTTAAATAATTAACTTCAATACATTTTTCATACCTTCATGTTAAGTTTAACAGCCTGCGTAATGACCTCCACGACTGTAGTTGTTTTTCCTGTGCCTGGAGGACCATGAATTACAGCTAACTCTGGCTGAGACAAGGCAAATCTCACAGCCTCTTTTTGGGAGTCATCCAGGTTTTGATTTATGAATGTAAATTCTGAGAAAACAAAAAACACACCATAGGTGTATCAAATACCAACATGACTGATACATCAACATAATGTAACCTCTAATTCTCTAACAACTTTATACTACACAAAGTCACTATTAGCTGTTGTTATGTAACCTATCAGGATATATCATCACATGGTGGGCTAGTCAAATCACCACTTTTTGTTATAGCCATTTTTTCAGAAGTGCTGGATGGTTCTTTCTCAGACTGACCATCCCACCATCTGATGATGGTGGGCTAAAATTTAGTCAATGACCTACATTGTATACATTCATGCTTGTTATTTAATTTCATATTTCAATTACTGTTCACCATATTTCAATTACCGTTCACCACATTATTACTTCAGAAATGATCTGTTGTTTTTTACAGGTCCCATGGGCAGTCACTATAACAGATTACATAAAATATAAGATTTTATCATCTAATGGCAATGCTGATTTCATAAACATACAGTGTGCCTCAACATCAGATTTTGAGAACCTACCTTTAATGATATAAGGTGGAGTTAACTCCCTTTCCCCAAACAACACTCCAACAAGTCGGCTGGCTGGACAAGGAGTGAGGGATTGTAGATCATGAAGAGCTCTATAGAGAAAAAATGTATCATGTAATTTATATTAAATGTAAGAACAATGCTGAATTGACTAATATTTTGGAATTACAAGAGGCCAAATAGGCTTGCTTTGCTCACCTGGTTTTCAATGTTCCTCAAACACAGCATTGGTGTTAATATCACAGACATATTTACATATGCGCCATTGGCATTCAAAGTGGACACATCCAATTGATTTAAAGCAATTTCCACTTCAATGAGCTTCTAATACTCAACTCTAAACAGTGACAGTTATGACCTGGGTTTAAGTAAATACCAGTTCTTTTTTCTCAAAAGTCTCAAAGACAAGTGCAAAGTATATAGTAAATATCTCTCCTTCTGCTGCCTCTGTGGTCAAACAGACCTTGATTTCATCGCCTGCATACACTTCTGATGCAAGTGTACTGACCATTTATCAATAGTAAATGAAACACAACAAAAACATGTCTGTATTTATACTCACCGTTTTAATCTCTTGTAAGTGACATCATTTGCTAGTTTCTGCAGTTTATATGAATCATCATCTCTTAAGAGAAAAAGATCCTGGCTATCATCAAAAGCAACACAAATAGAAGTTTTACTGGCCTTGGTGATGATTCCTGAACCAATATCTTCTGTCTGGTCATCAGAAGACCGACTTAACCCAGCAATGTCACCTGTAAAAAGTAACTCAAATCATCACAACAAACTCAACCCAGCAATGTCACCTGTAAAAAGTAACTCAAACCATCACAACAAACTCAACCCAGCAATGTCACCTGTAAAAAGTAACTCAAACCATCACAACAAACTCAACCCAGCAATGTCACCTGTAAAAAGTAACTCAAACCATCACAACAAACTCAACCCAGCAATGTCACCTGTAAAAAGTAACTCAAACCATCACAACAAACTCAACCCAGCAATGTCACCTGTAAAAAGTAACTCAAACCATCACAACAAACTCAACCCAGCAATGTCACCTGTAAAAAGTAACTCAAATCATCACAACAAACTCAACCCAGCAATGTCACCTGTAAAAAGTAACTCATCAACCAAACCATCACAACAAACTCAACCCAGCAATGTCACCTGTAAAAAGTAACTCAAACCATCACAACAAACTCAACCCAGCAATGTCACCTGTAAAAAGTAACTCAAACCATCACAACAAACTCAACCCAGCAATGTCACCTGTAAAAAGTAACTCAAACCATCACAACAAACTCAACCCAGCAATGTCACCTGTAAAAAGTAACTCAAACCATCACAACAAACTCAACCCAGCAATGTCACCTGTAAAAAGTAACTCAAACCATCACAACAAACTCAACCCAGCAATGTCACCTGTAAAAAGTAACTCAAACCATCACAACAAACTCAACCCAGCAATGTCACCTGTAAAAAGTAACCCAAATCATCACAACAAACTCAACCCAGCAACCCAGCAATGTCACCTGTAAAAAGTAACTCAAACCATCACAACAAACTCAACCCAGCAATGTCACCTGTAAAAAGTAACTCAAATCATCACAACAAACTCAACCCAGCAATGTCACCTGTAAAAAGTAACTCAAACCATCACAACAAACTCAACCCAGCAATGTCACCTGTAAAAAGTAACTCAACCCATCATAACAAACTCAACCCAGCAATGTCACCTGTAAAAAGTAACTCAAACCATCACAACAAACTCAACCCAGCAATGTCACCTGTAAAAAGTAACTCAAACCATCACAACAAACTCAACCCAGCAATGTCACCTGTAAAAAGTAACTCAAATCATCACAACAAACTCAACCCAGCAATGTCACCTGTAAAAAGTAACTCATCAACCAAACCATCACAACAAACTCAACCCAGCAATGTCACCTGTAAAAAGTAACTCATCAACCAAACCATCACAACAAACTCAACCCAGCAATGTCACCTGTAAAAAGTAACTCAAATCATCACAACAAACTCAACCCAGCAATGTCACCTGTAAAAAGTAACTCAAATCATCACAACAAACTCAACCCAGCAATGTCACCTGTAAAAAGTAACTCAAACCATCACAACAAACTCAACCCAGCAATGTCACCTGTAAAAAGTAACTCAAACCATCACAACAAACTCAACCCAGCAATGTCACCTGTAAAAAGTAACTCATCAACCAATCCATCACAACAAACTCAACCCAGCAATGTCACCTGTAAAAAGTAACTCAAACCATCACAACAAACTCAACCCAGCAATGTCACCTGTAAAAAGTAACCCAAATCATCACAACAAACTCAACCCAGCAATGTCACCTGTAAAAAGTAACTCAAACCATCACAACAAACTCAACCCAGCAATGTCACCTGTAAAAAGTAACTCAAACCATCACAACAAACTCAACCCAGCAATGTCACCTGTAAAAAGTAACTCAAACCATCACAACAAACTCAACCCAGCAATGTCACCTGTAAAAAGTAACTCAAACCATCACAACAAACTCAACCCAGCAATGTCACCTGTAAAAAGTAACTCAAACCATCACAACAAACTCAACCCAGCAATGTCACCTGTAAAAAGTAACTCCTCAACCAAACCATCACAACAAACTCAACCCAGCAATGTCACCTGTAAAAAGTAACTCAAATCATCACAACAAACTCAACCCAGCAATGTCACCTGTAAAAAGTAACTCATCAACCAAACCATCACAACAAACTCAACCCAGCAATGTCACCTGTAAAAAGTAACTCAACCCATCATAACAAACTCAACCCAGCAATGTCACCTGTAAAAAGTAACTCAACCCATCATAACAAACTCAACCCAGCAATGTCACCTGTAAAAAGTAACTCAAACCATCACAACAAACTCAACCCAGCAATGTCACCTGTAAAAAGTAACTCAAATCATCACAACAAACTCAACCCAGCAATGTCACCTGTAAAAAGTAACTCATCAACCAAACCATCACAACAAACTCAACCCAGCAATGTCACCTGTAAAAAGTAACTCAACCCATCATAACAAACTCAACCCAGCAATGTCACCTGTAAAAAGTAACTCAACCCATCATAACAAACTCAACCCAGCAATGTCACCTGTAAAAAGTAACTCAAACCATCACAACAAACTCAACCTAGCAATGTCACCTGTAAAAAGTAACTCAACCCATCATAACAAACTCAACCCAGCAATGTCACCTGTAAAAAGTAACTCAACCCATCATAACAAACTCAACCCAGCAATGTCACCTGTAAAAAGTAACTCAAACCATCACAACAAACTCAACCCAGCAATGTCACCTGTAAAAAGTAACTCAAACCATCACAACAAACTCAACCCAGCAATGTCACCTGTAAAAAGTAACTCAAACCATCACAACAAACTCAACCCAGCAATGTCACCTGTAAAAAGTAACTCAAACCATCACAACAAACTCAACCCAGCAATGTCACCTGTAAAAAGTAACTCAAACCATCACAACAAACTCAACCCAGCAATGTCACCTGTAAAAAGTAACTCAAACCATCACAACAAACTCAACCCAGCAATGTCACCTAAAAAGTAACTCAAACCATCACAACAAACTCAACCCAGCAATGTCACCTGTAAAAAGTAACTCAAACCATCACAACAAACTCAACCCAGCAATGTCACCTGTAAAAAGTAACTCATCAACCAAACCATCACAACAAACTCAACCCAGCAATGTCACCTGTAAAAAGTAACTCAAACCATCACAACAAACTCAACCCAGCAATGTCACCTGTAAAAAGTAACTCAAACCATCATAACAAACTCAACCCAGCAATGTCACCTGTAAAAAGTAACTCAACCCATCATAACAAACTCAACCCAGCAATGTCACCTGTAAAAAGTAACTCAAACCATCACAACAAACTCAACCCAGCAATGTCACCTGTAAAAAGTAACTCAAACCATCACAACAAACTCAACCCAGCAATGTCACCTGTAAAAAGTAACTCATCAACCAAACCATCACAACAAACTCAACCCAGCAATGTCACCTGTAAAAAGTAACTCAAACCATCACAACAAACTCAACCCAGCAATGTCACCTGTAAAAAGTAACTCATCAACCAAACCATCACAACAAATCTAATTCTGCATTGACATGATTATACAAGTCTTTATCCCAGGAACCTACTTGCCAAATATGATTATAGTTGTCTTATAAGTTCTTAAGATCTTCACTGAAAATGCTGACACATAGATTTAAACTTTTGTTGAATTTCCAGGACCCATTATTTTGACATAAAGTGGGTTCTTGAATTTCCCCCAGGAAATCCCAGGGTCCACAACTGATCTAAATCCCAAAACAAACTACCACCTTGGCGTTAAATATAGATTAATACTTATTCTTCATTACAGGTGAAGTGAAAGTAAATATAAGCCTTTGAGCCAATTCACACATCATACCTGGCGTGAAATTGTGGGAAGGCAGCTCATGTTGATTTCTGCTCTTCTCAAATGTGATGACAATTCTCCCATAAAATCCTGTTCTCCGTCCCGCTATGCATAGCTTTAGAAGACATACCCCTCTCCTCTGTAGCTCTTTGATGGGCAACTTCTCTGTCAAAATTCTAAATATGACAAACAAAATAGAATTCAATATAACTCTGGTAAATAGCAAGAGGTCCTATGTTTGATTCCGCGAATGAATAATGACTTCTGTAAGATGAAAATGATGATTAAGAAGTGTTGAGCATTTTAAACTTGATTACAGCTCAGTTACAAGGCTAAGATTTATAGCATACACATTGAAAAATATATATATATATATCCTACTTTCTTTGTTTCTATTGGCAGGGAATGAACTTTTAACAAATCAAACAGACATATAACAACCATTCTACACCTATATAATCTTAACACAAAACTACGACTGTCTTTAAGTACAAAATTTTGGCTCTGAGTGCCCAAAGTTTGATTCTAATTGAGAAAGATGCATCGAAACCTTCCCCAGAAATAACAATAACAAACTTTTGTGTTTAAAAATGTTGTCAAAATCCAAGATGGCTGCCTGTCAGTCATTTTGTTTTTGTGATCAGTCCCAAAATCAAATGGAACAGTTAGGGGCAATGGGAAACCTATTTATGAATTCTAAGAGAAGTGCTTAAGGAGAAATTGTTATAACAATATTTCCTACTCATAAACAAAGACGTTCACTGGTCATACATTTTGTTTCTGATCAGTCCCAACATCAACAGGCACAATAATAGACTGATGGGAATCAACATATGAAATTTCGGTAAGAACCTTCAAATTCTCCTCCGGGAAGTACATCAACAAATCACAAAGATCAAAAACCAAAAACAAAATGAACTTGCACATGAAATTGTGAATGATTCAACCACTTCTTCTAAAGAAATAAAGGATATCTAATAGTGTCTTCAGTGAAAAAAGATATTTCACAAGCATATCTTATATTTTAGTATCTTTCATACGTAGCATGATTGAAAGACACAACAAATATTAGACACAAAATGTATGTGAAGTATTAAATTTTCTATTCATTACATTTTTAAAAGCATAATATTACTGGCCTATCAAAGACACGTATAAAAGAATGAAGATGACTATGTTTTTCTTAAAATGTTTTGCTGCACTGTCAAGACGTTTGGCTGGAGAATGGGTTTGACCTCTGATAAGGTCATTTCAGCTATTGGCTTGCATTGTTTGCTGACTTCCAAGAAAATGAAAATTTACCATGGAAATGAATGTTGTGTTACTTGTAAACAACCCCTCCAAAAGCGTTATTTTTCCTATTTCATTAGTATCATCAATGTGATATTTCTCTATATTCCACTTGTAAAAATGTAATAGAGTGAGAGTTCGTGATTTTGAACGTGTTCATGTTTTTCGTTTTCAAAATGAGGTTAATCAGAAGTGCTATATTTAGAACAGAAAACACATGACTCTGCAAATACACAAAAAGGGATAATCTACAGCTAGTTGAACGAAACAAACGAAAAATCACCATTGCAAATTTACATACTCTTACTACAGGTATATTAATAACAAATTTCAAAGGCCAAAAAGTTATTAAGTTTGATGTGTTGGAATTCTAGTGTATCTTTGTACATTGCTTCTGCAAGGACTTGCACTCAAAACCTCTGGTTTACTATATTTTGTAGTGTAGTGTTACCAACTATGCTGTATGGCTGCGAAATGTGGAACTCTTACACGAAAAATGCTATTTTAGAGTTAATGTTTTGGAACAAGTTACGCAACGGTAGCATTTCATATAAATGGAAGGCAACATTCCATGTACACCTCTTGAATACTATATATGGACCTTGCTATAACGTCCGAATAGGTTTCATACCGGACATATTTCATATTTTTCAGAAGTTTGGAACAGTTTCTTTTGTGAGCGATTTCATATTCAACGAATTTGTACCTTCCAAAGCATGCTGGAGTCATTTTCTGAAACGTTTTTTGAACGACTTTTATGATTGACAATGGCGCGAAGATATGAGCTGTAGGCCGGAGTTGCACAGATATGCAAAGATTCATTCTTATCAGGGAGTAAATCCGGTGTTACAGGTAAGTAAGCAAAAATCATCTGTGGTTACGTGGGAAATAACCGAAATAACAATATAATTCTACATTTCCTTACACTATGTCCAAAGTTATAGAAAACTAGGGATTTGTTGTTTGATCAGGTAGTTAACATTATTGACGTCAATGACTATGCTGTGTTTTCCAACTTTGATGAGCAGGAGCAGTGTAGTTTTTTAGGAGATCTTAGTGTTATATATCTTACAGAAGATATCTGGGGGAATCTGATGATCAACCTCTCACAAACTATGAACACAATGTCCAACGAAATGACTGACTTTTTAGTTGCCACATGAAAAAAAACGACGCAATACATGGTGTTCATGAAATAGTGTGAATATTCTTGTTTTTTTCTGTATTAATATCGATTAACGAGGAAATAAAGAATGTCTGTCTATTTTTAGGCTCAAACGATCGAGTTGAACATAAGATTTCTAGTGCCCAGCAGCTAGTATTCATCAGCGTTACAATCATCCTACAAACAAACAAACAAAGGGAATGGGTCTTTTAGGCTGTGGCATCACAAACTGGAACTTGAGATTAGTCATGATAGTGATCATAAAACTCATTGCGATTTAAAACATGGTCTCTGGCCTCCTATAACACCATCTGACGTTCGTAAGCTTCTCGCCGTGTAAACCTCAGACCGTTGCCATGTTGGAGTACGTATTTGCGGTAGATAAGGCGAGAAAGTCAAGATTCTAAAAATCTTTTTTCTTCGTCTACGTTTTCTACCTTGTTTCTTCTAATTCAGCCTCCCTTTCCTTTTCTAGAAGTCGCAAATGTTTACGGGTAAACTGTTCCATGCTGGGTTATAGAAACTGGAAGTCCTATATGGATTTTAGACGTAGTTGCGTATTTTCATATCATATCTACTTTCATTTTAGCTAGGGTTACACAGGCATAAAGAACCATTTTATTTTATTATTTCCATCTTAACAGTTTGCGTTTTATATCAAAAAGTTATTATCACCACATGTACATAGTTACAGTTAATTGTGAAATGAAAAATACAGAAATACACACAATAAACGTAAATAAGTAGACTTGCACAAGCCCGTAACGGAACAAGATGTTGGGAGCCACGTTATAAGTTTATAACATGACTCCAAACATCTTGGTACATTTTGTCTGTGCCGTACTGATGAACATTTTGGTTTCATTTTTGATGATAAATCATCGAGCAAAAGTTGTTTTTAACACTGAACTATTTCAATGAATTTGTAGTGAACTAACACAGACTTAAAGGTAGATCATACAAACAGCTTAATACAATTAATGCCAAAATGTAAATTAGTAATTTCAAATAATACTGAAACTTCGGGACTGTTAAGGATAATGTTACCGTACAGCTAATATCTGATCCTCGCTGAATGGATGGCACCCAGGGTCCTGATGAATGGAACCAAAAAGAGTCAACTAACTGAATTTATTTTTATGCGTTTAGATGCAATACATATATGGTAGAATTAAATAATTTTCGTCGATGGAAAGGTTAGAAAGTGTTTCACAAAAACTTGAATGTTGTGACCCAGAAAGCTGGTAAGTGCTCCTAGGGAGATGTAAATCAAACTTAGTATACTTTGCCACTGAGGTGACATTAAGGCCATTAGGAGTCATGTATTATAAATATTATGTCTCTCGTTTCAAACATGCTCTTTTTCCAGTACTGCACAACAGAACAATAACTGTATATCTCACGCCAAAGAAACATTCAGGGTTTGTAGTATTGGAAAGCCCATGAAGTTGAAATGGTAATAATGTGTCACAATTTTAAGTGAGAAAACATTGCTATATGTTTTAACGATAATTTAAAGCATACCAAAGTTTAAAGAGATTGTTGGAAAACTGAAAGAAATTTAAACATAACTTATTGCAATCTGATTACAAAAGGATAGGGCACCAGTTATTACAATTCCAAATCACCGTTTCCAATATGTTTTACACAGCAATCTATAATACAAACAAGTTAATTTACAACAAACATATATAATTGGTAAGAGACAGAAGAAGCCTTGTGATGAATGTCCAGTATGATTAACCTGGTAATCTTGACCCGGTAACTTCACAAATAATTCTTACCATGCAACTTTGTTTTGTAATGCTACAAAAATATTTGTCAGTTAAAAAAATTAAATTTGACCTTGACATTTGAACTGATAACATTGACCTGTGGTCAGGTGACTTCTCATTTGATTTCAGTTAATATATTTCGTTATGTCATAAATAAACATATAAATTTAATGTTCAGATGGTATATATTTGTGATGTATATTCCCATTTTTACTTGTAGTAATGGTGGCCTTAACCTTTGACCTCTGAACAAGAAACAATTGTGAGCTAGCATTTCTTGTGAAGAAGCAACGGAGAACGTACTGGAGGAGTGTAAGCATACGAGTATTTAACTGAAGTTGTTTTGTAGCAATACGTTTTATTGTATGGTACGTGACCTTTGACCTAAAGACTCAAAATTCACTCCCACCAAAGCACTTTCTTTGAAGAAGCATGGGGTACAGTGCAATTGACTGATCAGAACTTAAGATATAGTTGTTAAATCATGTCAGTTTTGTCGTGCTTCGATAGATACAGAAAAAAGGTTTACATGGGCTGAAATTCTAGGACTGTAATACTGATGCTTTTCTGTGTCATTCTTATATTTATTAACAGGAGCTTTGTGTGCTAGCATCAATCCTTTTATCTTATATTTAATGTTCTTTTTATCTATAAACCTATCATCAAGTTATTAAGCATCAGTGCATTTTGTTGTCATTTGTATCGCCTGTACTTATGTTTTGTGGGAGAGGACGTCGATAAGTTTTTAACTAGCGTCCAATCCTGTTTGATTGCATCAAATAAAATATGTTTAAACTAACAATGCCCTCGCATCCTATTGTTTGTAATACCGGGACCGCGCGTGCTTTTATTTGCTAGCAATAGAATTAACTGCATTCATATACAGAGTTAGTTTCACGATATATGAATAATAAAATCAAAGTATAGTGGTGGCTTTCATCATGTGTGCTATTAACGCGAGCAGGTCCGCTGTGTTATGTTTTCAACTCAACACGTGCGATACAGGACCGAGCAATGGACGTGTACATCATCTATCTACGATCATTATAATAACGGCGTAAACATATTACGTATAAATTTCTATATGAATATATACATGGCTGCATTGAGTTTGGCCAGAGACCTACAATTTTGTTATTTCCACATCTTTGTCCCTACTCTATTTGCCAAGTGGCGCTTTTGCCCCCCTCCTTCACATAATGAGTTAGTTTGTGTAATTATTTAGATATACATGTAACTCAGTTCCAGTGTGATGTAACATGGCCTTGTATATATGTTTTTATTTTATGTCGTTTTCTGTAATAAACGGCCAGTATCATTTCACACATCTGTTTTACTGGTTATCTTTCACAATGTTTGATGTTCTCTTCATGTACATGAGAACTGATCATCATAAATATACACGTAGTTCTTTGGGCAAGGCTCTTCAGGGCAGTATACTTCATATCTGTACCAGTGCTTTACGTTGTTAGAGTATCAGCGTGGCCGCTAAGACATATCTGTACCAGCGCTTTACGTTGTTAGAGTATCAGCGTGGCTGCTAAGACATATCTGTACCAGTGCTTTACGTTGTTAGCGTATCAGCGTGGCCGCTAAGACATATCTGTACCAGTGCTTTACGTTGTTAGAGTATCAGCGTGGCCCAGTGCTCTAAGGGTTCCTTAATATACACGTACCTTGACCGGACGGTAGCCAAATACCAATTACGACAAACTAACTTCAAACTGCCGTATTTCAAACAACAAAATTTCTTATTTTTTCTGATACACCACACTGTATGTTTAGCGAGGATATCGGGACCTCACTCGCTACATAAAAATCCAGGCGGACGGAGCGGCGTCACAAATGAACTGGACTGTATCTCCGATGATACTCGGTGTATCTAAGATAGCTGGACAGTTTCCGGTTTTGTGAATACCCTGAGTATCTCCGGAGATACATCCGTTTCACGTGATGTATTTTTTTCACTGCCAAAACTAAGTTTCATGTTTTGTAATTTGATGTAACTTCTGTGTTACTCAACCTACTCAGATGAATAAATTGTCGTTTTTTACTACAATGTATAAACAAAGAAACTGTTCAGATATCCTAGGGAGGGGTGAGGCTAAATGGAAAAATTATATCCTACGCTCTCATTTTCAAGTAAGTATCGTACATACTCATATCTAGACGCAATACACATCAAATCTGTAAGCAGTTTTTTTCTCGGTTCATTTTCCCCAGAACAATCAATGTTTTCTAACGACCTTCACCTACAAGTATGCTACCACGCGACTCTTTAGTCAATGCTTTCCGTTATGGATTATCCAACAACTATTATATCTTTATATTTGCTCCAGGCAGACAGAGTTATATAAAACCAGCACCAAGAATTAATAACATTCTATACAGTACTGAAACAAATCCATATTTGCCACACGTGCGCACACACATGTAGCAACATGCATAAATACAAGGACAAGTGCAATACAAAGTCACACGCACACATAAAAAACAAGCACCAGAAGTCGATAGGAAAAGTTTCATCGCCAAAAACTTACATACATATGTAATATTCAACTGAACCTTTAACCTTGCTGAAGCTGAAGGACACTTGAAAGATTGAATTAAATACAAAAGGAAATGATCAGAAATTACTTTACACATGAAGATAATGCAACCGTAAATATCAGTAACTGTAGCACTCTATCGAGACCAAAACTACAGACTTCCAACGAAAGCCCTTAATTCTCATCATTCGTGTCATGGAAAATACTTTTAAATGAAATATTAAGTGTCCCGTGAAAAAAAACAGCATCTGGTTGCCATCTGCTCAGTGAGGACTCTTCCCAATCTTGTTCATTAATATGCATAATGTAGCAGCGACATGAACGGTTTATCTGCCTCTGCGATGTACCTTAATAATATTCGTTGTAAGACCGTAAACTGTTGACGCCGACATCTTGTTTTTATAATAAATTCACGTGCGATTCCCACAATGAAACTGTGTAAAACTGATATATGTTTTAGTGAATATATATATCGAACAAGGGTGACAAAATCAAAATAAACACCTACAGACTCTAAAATTCCACATCCCAACAGTCACAAATATATATCTATTTCGACGTGTATAAATATAATTATTTAAAAGTAAATGATTCCATAGTTATGCCCAGATGTTATATACATCTCTGGTATCGGTCCATGTGGAATTCTTTTCAGAGTACAAGTAGCAAGGGCTTACACCGTGTCAGTAGCTAAGAAAAGCACACGTATAGAATCTGCGCTCAATCAATCCGCATTTTGCAGCAAGGCGATTTCCCGCGAAATGCCAACGAGCGTTTGAACTTGGTCACGTGATGTAAACAGCAGCATTAACTGCATGTGATCACGTTTAGACTCATTGCTACAAGGTATAGAATTATTGAACACGACGATAGTAACTATTATTAATTTATTTGTCATTTTGGTAAATATGACAGAAAATATCATGTCAACTCTCAACGGCCATCCGGTGTTTCACGCAGATGACAGAACCCATGATGGATCCGAATCTGTCGTCCCAACAAGTTCAGCGATTGCCCGTGGAAAGGCCCTGAAGAACGCCATGTCTTTCGTTCGTTCCCCGCCTTCTAAACCAGGACCAGGTTCGCCTATGGTAAAGTGATGAGCTCTCATTGTCACAATTAGTTTTTATTTAGGGTCCTGATGTTTTCAAATGTCGACAGTTGAACGGCTAACGGAATAGTGACTACGGACAAGTTTGCATGAATTTAAAATAGGCCTCACTTATTAAGAAGATTTGGATAGGTTCCATTTGTTCCTAGAAACAGATTGGTGACATGAGCACCCAACAGTTACTTTTTTCGGTTTTCGGTATTTGAGATAACCATATTACGTTAGGGTAGATCTGTCTTGAGAGATACTTATGTCCCAGGCGTTGTTTGTTTAGATATGTCCTGGGTGATGTTTGTATAGATAATGTCCTGGGTGATGTTTGTGGAGATATGTCCTGGGTGATGTTTGTGTAGATATGTCCTGGGTGATGTTTGTGTAGATATGTCCTGGGAGATGTTTGTGTAGATATGTCCTGGGAGATGTTTGTGTAGATATGTCCTGGGTGATGTTTGTGTAGATATGTCCTGGGTGATGTTTGTGTAGATATGTCCTGGGTGATGTTTGTGTAGATATGTCCTGGGTGATGTTTGTGTAGATATGTCCTGGGTGATGTTTGTGTAGATATGTCCTGGGTGATGTTTGTGTAGATATGTCCTGGGTGATGTTTGTGTAGATATGTCCTGGGTGATGTGTCCTGGGTGATGTCTGTGATATGTCCTGGGTGATGTTTGTGTAGATATGTCCTGGGTGATGTTGTGTGATATGTCCAGGGTGATGTTTGTGTAGATATGTCCTGGGTGATGTTTGTGTAGATATGTCCTGGGTGATGTTTGTGTAGATATGTCCTGGGTGATGTTTGTGTAGATATGTCCTGGGTGATGTTTGTGTAGATATGTCCTGATGTTTGTGTGATGTTTGTGTAGATATGTCCTGGGTGATGTTTGTGTAGATATGTCCTGGGTGATGTTTGTGTAGATATGTCCTGGGTGTTGTTTGTGTAGATATGTCCTGGGTGATGTTTGTGTAGATATGTCCTGGGTGATGTTTGTGTAGATATGTCCTGGGTGATGTTTGTGTAGATATGTCCTGGGTGATGTTTGTGTAGATATGTCCTGGGTGATGTTTGTGTAGATATGTCCTGGGAGATGTTTGTGTAGATATGTCCTGGGTGATGTTTGTGTAGATATGTCCTGGGTGATGTTTGTGTAGATATGTCCTGGGTGATGTTTGTGTAGATATGTCCTGGGTGATGTTTGTGTAGATATGTCCTGGGTGATGTTTGTGTAGATATGTCCTGGGTGATGTTTGTGTAGATATGGATGTTTGTGTAGATATGTCCTGGGTGATGTTTGTGTAGATATGTCCTGGGTGATGTTTGTGTAGATATGTCCTGGGTGATGTTTGTGTAGATATGTCCTGGGAGATGTTTGTGTAGATATGTCCTGGGTGATGTTTGTGTAGATATGTCCTGGGTGATGTTTGTGTAGATATGTCCTGGGTGATGTTTGTGTATATATGTCCTGGGAGATGTTTGTGTAGGTATGTCCTGAGTGATGTTTGTGTAGATATGTTCTGGGTGATGTTTATGTAGATATGTCCTTGGAGGTTTTTGTGTAGATATGTCCTGGGTGATGTTTGTGTAGATATGTCCTGGGTGATGTTTGTGTAGATATGTCCTTGGTGATGTTTGTTGACATATGTCCTGGGTGATGTTTGTGTAGATATGTCCTGGGTGATGTTTGTGTAGATATGTCCTGGGTGATGTTTGTGTAGATATGTCCTGGGTGATGTTTGTGTAGATATGTCCTGGGTGATGTTTGTGTAGATATGTCCTGGGAGATGTTTGTGTAGATATGTCCTCGGAGATGTTTGTGTAGATGTCCTGGGAGATATTTGTTGACATATGTCCTGGGAGATGTTTGTGTAGATGTGTCCTTGGTGATCTTTGTGTAGATATGTCCTGGGTGATGTTTGTGTAGATATGTCCTGGGTGATGTTTGTGTAGATATGTCCTGGGTGATGTTTGTGTAGATATGTCCTGGGTGATGTTTGTGTAGATATATCCTGGGTGGTGTTTGTGGAGATATGTCCTGGGTGATGTTTGTGTAGATATGTCCTGGGTGATGTTTGTGTAGATATGTCCTGGGTGATGATTGTGTAGATCAGTACTTGGAGATGTTTGTGTAGATATATCCTGGGTGATGTTTGTGTAGATATGTCCTGGGTGATGTTTGTGTAGATATGTCCTGGGTGATGTTTGTGTAGATATGTCCTGGGTGATGTTTGTGTAGATATGTCCTGGGTGATGTTTGTGTAGATATGTCCTGGGTGATGTTTGTGTAGATATGTCCTTGGTGATGGTTGTTGACATATGTCCTGGGTGATGTTTGTGTAGATATGTCCTGGGTGATGTTTGTGTAGAATATGTCCTGGGTGATGTTTGTGTATATATGTCCTGGGTGATGTTTGTGTAGATATGTCCTGGGTGATGTTTGTGTAGATATGTCCTAAGAGATGTTTTTTGTAGATATGTCCTGGGTGATGTTTGTGTAGATATGTCCTGGATGATGTTTGTGTAAATATGTCCTGGGTGATGTTTGTGTAGATATGTCCTGGGTGATGTTTGTGTAGATATGTCCTGGGAGATGTTTGTGTAGATATGTCCTGGGAGATGTTTGTGTAGATATGTCCTGGATATGTCCTGGGAGATGTTTGTATAATTATGTTTGTGGATTTCTGGGAGATGTTTGTGTAGATATGTCCTGAGAGTACTGGGTGATGTTTGTGTAAAATTTATTTCAGTAAGTGATATTGAGATACAGGTTTTACAAGCTATTAAGATAGTGGATATGATTGCTAACTGAATATTTAAGGGTTGCTAAATGCTAATATATATTTCTGCATAGATTACTTATATTTCTACAATAGATTATTTCTCAATCTGGAGTCATGAGGATTACAATTCCTAAATAGCTGATGCATTAACTGGCCACTCAATTTGACCACAGGCAATACTGATTGCACAAAGAACATTTTCCCTTATCCCCAATTATTACAACAAAGAAGGTGATATCAGGTATTTACCTTGGGATCTGTCTGGCACTACCCCTGAACAGCTAATTCAGTTATCCAGTGATATAGCGAGATCATATCTATACATAAACATTTTAAACATTTGTCATTTCATCATCACAATTTTCCCCTTACAACACATGCATCAATAGCTAGGTCTAACATACACAACTTCCTGATGTATTCAAATGATCCAACTTATAGTAAAACAAAAAAGAATTGCTTTGAACAATCACATGACAGAAAAATGTTTTTATTTGAAAAATCATTTGTTTGAACTATTCGCGGATATAACTTGTGCTCCAGAAGTGTAGCTGTGTTGTGGGCATGACCGGTTGATTGTTTTTTATTTCAACCAAGCGTGACCACACAGAATTCAATATTATGATAAGAAGGAAGGGTCCTGCCATGCTTGGTACACAAATTGTCTTGATGCTTAAGTGGGTTTAAACTCTATGTAATAACATGTTGTTACAAATATCGTCAAGGTAACAGAACTCAGTAAAAGGTTGTGTTTGTTTTTACAGGAGGTGGGGGAATACAAAGTGGAATGTATCTGTAACAGAGATATAAAGACGATTCTTTGTCGGTCCTGTGGAATGACTTTCAAAGGCCGAGTTCGACGAACCTGTCTGATGCACCCCAACAACATCCATCTGATGGACCTGGAGTGCTGCCCAAATTGTAAGGCTTCCCATATCAAGGAATTTGCAGAAAGCATGGCCAGCAAACGTAACATATGACTCCGCCCTCCAAAGCAAGGTTCCAGAAAAGTGCCAAACACATTGAAGACAGAGTGTGAAAAAATACTGTTAAACTGTCTAATTTATGTTGCAAAATAACGAAATTCCAACTAGAGTTGGTAATAGAATAATGTTATTGTAGGTTTTGTTTTATGTTGCTTTTATTTGCAAGCTTTAAACTTTCTTTTTCCACAAAATATTTTCATTTACTTGAAAGGAGATGTGTGCCAAAATATCAGTCATTGAAGTTTTTCCGGAATTCATATAGATACTGGGAATCAAAGTTGTTTCATCTGTGTGTTTACAAAGTTTTGTGATAGACTTTTTGTAAGCCAGTGCTGCTTGTCTATAATGTGTGGATAGAGTATTGCTAAAATCTAAATTACAATTGACCTTATTACAATATAAAATTAATTTCTCCAAGACAAACAGCATTGTAAATATTCCTGTTAAAAGATTTTTTTGTTCAATCTGATAGGTATGCATACTTCCATCATTCCAGTATTCATAACAGGATGATAACAGGATGATAACAGGATGATAGCAGGATGAAATTGTCAGTATTCATAACAGGATGATAACAGGATGAAATTGTCAGTATTCATAACAGGATGATAACAGGATGAAATTGTCAGTATTCATAACAGGATGAAATTGTCAGTATTCATAACAGGATGAAATTGTCAGTATTCATAACAGGATGAAATTGTCAGTATTCATAACAGGATGAAATTGTCAGTATTCATAACAGGATGAAATTGTCAGTATTCATAACAGGATGATAACAGGATGAAATTGTCAGTATTCATAACAGGATGATAACAGGATGAAATTGTCAGTATTCATAGTAGGATGATAACAGGATGAAATTGTCAGTATTCATAGTAGGATGAAATTGTCAGTATTCATAACAGGATGATAACAGGATGAAATTGTCAGTATTCATAGTAGGATGAAATTGTCAGTATTCATAACAGGATGATAACAGGATGAAATTGTCAGTATTCATAGTAGGATGAAATTGTCAGTATTCATAGTAGGATGAAATTGTCAGTATTCATAACAGGATGATAACAGGATGATAACATGATGAAATTGTCAGTATTCATAGCAGAATGAAATTGTCAGTATTCATAACAGGTTTTTTATATTTAAAAAAAAACAAGTATACTTCAATGGTAAAGCAAAGGGAGCCAGTCATTTGATAGAATAGGATCAAGGTAAGTACTTCGTACATGAAGGAGTGATTCTAAGGTCAAACAAGTACACAAGTACTTTGTGGGAGCGATGTGTAAGGGACAGACAAGTACACTTGAATATGATGGAATGATGTGTAGGGTTCAAACACACTTGTACCTGATGGGGTGATTGTAAGGTTAAAGAAAAACACATATACCTGATGGGGTGATGGTACGGTCAGAGAAGTACACATGTACCTGATGGGGTGATGGTACGGTCAGAGAAGTACACATGTACCTGATGGGGTGATGGTACGGTCAGAGAAGTACAAATGTACCTGATGGGGTGATGGTTAAGTTAGAGAAGTACACATGTACCTGATGGGGTGATGTAGTACCTAGCTGAGGAATGTTTGATGTCAGATGAGTGTGTTGTACCTACCTGGTAATGTTTGATGTCCGATGAGTGTGTTGTACTTAGCTGAGTAATGTTTGATGTCAGATGAGTGTGTTGTTCCTAGCTGAGGAATGTTTGATGTCAGATGAGTGTGTTGTACCTAGCTGAGTAATGTTTGATGTCAGCTGAGTGTGTTGTACCTAGCTGATAATGTGTGATGTCAGATGAATGTGTAGTACCTAGCTGAGTAATGTGTGATGTCAGATGAATGTGTAGTACCTAGCTGAGTAATGTTGGATGTCTGATAAGTTTAAAAAGTCATAAACATGCCCCTATTATGGAATTATTACTTGCTTTGATTGTGCTGACTTTTTTTTGTCATAACAGTGATGAAATTGTCAGTATATAACAGGATGAAATTGTGAATCCTTGATAACAGGATGAAATTGTCAGTATTCATAACAGGATGAAATTGTCAGTATTCATAACAGGATGTCCTTTAAATTTGTCTGGCAATGTCAGTCATTTGTCCTTACATCATTAATGTTATCATCAATCATTTGTCCTTACATCATTAATGTTATCATCAATCATTTGTCCTTACATCATTAATGTTATCATCAATCATTTGTCAGGATGAAATTTACATCATTAATGTTATCATCAATCATTTGTCCTCAATCATTAATGTTATCATCAATCATTTGTCCTTACATCATTAATGTTATCATCAATCATTTGTCCTCAATCATTAATGTTATCATCAATCATTTGTCCTTACATCATTAATGTTATCATCAATCATTTGTCCTTACATCATTAATGTTATCATCAATCATTTGTCCTCAATCATTAATGTTATCATCAATCATTTGTCCTTACATCATTAATGTTATCATCAATCATTTGTCCTTACATCATTAATGTTATCATCAATCATTTGTCCTTAATCATTAATGTTATCATCAATCATTTGTCCTTAATCATTAATGTTATCATCAATCATTTGTCCTTCCATCATTAATGTTATCATCAATCATTTGTCCTTACATCATTAATGTTATCATCAATCATTTGTCCTTAATCATTAATGTTATCATCAATCATTTGTCCTCAATCATTAATGTTATCATCAATCATTTGTCCTTTATCATTAATGTTATCATCAATCATTTGTCCTTTATCATTAATGTTATCATCAATCATTTGTCCTTAATCATTAATGTTTATCATCAATCAGTGTGTTGTCCTTAATCATTAATGTTATCATCAGTGTGTTGTCCTTAATCATTAATGTTTCATCAGATCAGTGTGTTGTCCTTAATCAGGAATGTTTGATGTCAGATCAGTGTGTTGTACCTAATCATTAATGTTATGTCAATCAGTGTGTTGTACATCATTAATGTTGATGTCAGATGAATGTGTAGTACCTACATCATTAATGTGTGATGTCAGATCATGTGTGTCCTTAATAATTAATGTTATCATCAATCATTTAAAAAGTCATAAACATCATTAATGTTACATCTTTGAATCATTTGTCTCCAGTGTTACATCATTAATGTTATCATCCTTTTGTCCTACCATCATTAATGTTATGAGTAAGCTTGTCCTCAATCATTAATGTTATCATCAATCATTTGTCCTTACATCATTAATGTTATCATCAATCATTTGTCCTTAATCATTAATGTTATCATCAATCATTTGTCCTTACATCATTAATGTTATCATCAATCATTTGTCCTTACATCATTAATGTTATCATCAATCATTTGTCCTTAATCATTAATGTTATCATCAATCATTTGTCCTTACATCATTAATGTTATCATCAATCATTTGTCCTTAATCATTAATGTTATCATCAATCATTTGTCCTTACATCATTAATGTTATCATCAATCATTTGTCCTCAATCATTAATGTTATCATCAATCATTTGTCCTTTATCATTAGTGTTATCAGTACTTCTTTAGAATTGTTGAATCTTCCTGAAAGTTTTTATCAAAACCAGTATCACCTTTTAGTTAAAATCCTTCATTTTGAGATATTCAGGAAATAATTGCTGAATGGTGAAGATATCCCATGGTCCCTAGATATTGTCAGTGTTGGGACTGAACAGGAGAACTAAAGGGCCTACATGCAAGTCATTCTATCAGCTCACCATCTACATATGTATATACAACAGTTTATTTCAGTTTTCCTAGTTTTAAAGTACTTACGTTGTCATTATACTGGATAGTTGTGCCAGACATTTAAAACCTTTAAAGTCCTCTGAGTGATGAAAGTCTTCAGAAAAGTTGTCTATAATCCAAATGGTGATAAACATAATATATGTTCCAGTGAGAAACTATGTATATACAATGTTTAGTAAATAAAGTTATGTAGTTAAGTTTCTGTTAACATATTTGTTTTGATATTTATTTGATGAATGTGACAAAATATCATTGTATGTACAGTGACATGTGAAAAGTGGTCTTTCCATCCGTTATTAGCCCACTATCATCAGATGGTGGGGTATTCAAATCGCCTTGCGTCCGTGGTCTGTTCTCCAACCGTCCGTCCGTAAACAATTCTTGTTACCGCTATTTCTGGAAAAATTACTGGATGGATCTTTCTCAAATTTCATATGCAGGTTCCACTTGGTCCCTAGTTGTGCATTGTACCTTTTTTGGACTGATTCAAATTCAAGATGGCCGCCAGGCAACCATAAAATCTTGTTACCGCTATTTCTGAGGAAGTACTGGATGGATACTTCTGATATTTCATAGGTATTGGTTCCCCTTGGTCCCTAGTTGTGCATTGTACTTCTTTTGGACTGATTTGAATTCAAGTTGGCCCACAGGCAGCCACAGGCAGTAATACAGCACCATAATTCTATCATCTTGATTCAAGACCATGTCCATTATCCACCTGTAAGGACTGCTACTGATAATACTTTGGGATCTTTTTCACATGATATTTGCTTTGCCTTAATAAAAATATCTTGTGCATTGTACTTCTGTTCATGAACATTTACAAAACCTGTTGCACAAAAAAAAAAAAAAAAAATTCAAGTTGGCCCACAGGCAGCCATCTTGGATGTCGACAATAATACAGCACAAGCATATCTTTTTCGATATTCTATCATATTGATTCAAGACCATGTCCATTATCCACCTGTAACCGACTGCTATCTGATAATACTTTGGGATCTTTTTCACATGATATTTGCTAATGGGTGCTTAATAAAAATATCTTGTGCCATCATTGAGTACATTCAATGAAGACCAGTTCATGAACATTTACAAAACCTGTAGCACAAAAAAAAAAAAAAAAATCTTCAAGAACAGAAAACGGACCCTCAAATGGTGGGCGCCAAGATCCCTCTGGGATCTCTTGTTTAGTGTAAGCTCCCCTGACATGAACAGACATCAACTTTTACCTTCAATGACTACTTTAAGCTCCCCTGGCATGAACAGACATCAACTTTTACCTTCAATGACTACTTTAAGCTCCCCTGGCATGAACAGACATCAACGTTTACCTTCAATGACTACTTTAAGCTCCCCTGGCATGAACAGACATCAACGTTTACCTTCAATGACTACTTTAAGCTCCCCTGACATGAACAGACATCAACGTTTACCTTCAATGACTACTTTAAGCTCCCCTGGCATGAACAGACATCAACTTTTACCTTCAATGACTACTTTAAGCTCCCCTGGCATGAACAGACATCAACTTTTACCTTCAATGACTACTTTAAGCTCCCCTGGCATGAACAGACATCAACTTTTACCTTCAATGACTACTTTAAGCTCCCCTGGCATGAACAGACATCAACCTTTACCTTCAATGACTACTTTAAGCTCCCCTGGCATGAACAGACATCAACGTTTACCTTCAATGACTACTTTAAGCTCCCCTGGCATGAACAGACATCAACTTTTACCTTCAATGACTACTTTAAGCTCCCCTGACATGAACAGACATCAACTTTTACCTTCAATGACTACTTTAAGCTCCCCTGGCATGAACAGACATCAACTTTTACCTTCAATGACTACTTTAAGCTCCCCTGGCATGAACAGACATCAACGTTTACCTTCAATGACTACTTTAAGCTCCCCTGGCATGAACAGACATCAACTTTTACCTTCAATGACTACTTTAAGCTCCCCTGGCATGAACAGACATCAACTTTTACCTTCAATGACTACTTTAAGCTCCCCTGACATGAACAGACATCAACGTTTACCTTCAATGACTACTTTAAGCTCCCCTGGCATGAACAGACATCAACGTTTACCTTCAATGACTACTTTAAGCTCCCCTGGCATGAACAGACATCAACTTTTACCTTCAATGACTACTTTAAGCTCCCCTGGCATGAACAGACATCAACTTTTACCTTCAATGACTTCTATTGAATAACCAAAAGGCTCACAGTGAAATTTGATAATAGACCTGTAGCATGCTGGGACGAAGGGCTACAAAATTTGTTGAAATGATTGACCTTAACCTACTGTCCATACCACAGGAGTTGAATATGTAAAATCTTCAAACAACCTCTCACCAAGCAAAAACCTCCGGATGCTGATATTGGACTAGTGGTATGCTGAAAATGGCCTTGGCCGACTTTCAAGGTCATAGTGGTCAGATAATTGTGCAATTGGTTCTAGAATTAATGATACTGGTAAGTTCCGACCTCTCATTTCTGTATTACTAGAATCTCTCCCAGTTGAATAATAGTCTCTTTTCATCTGCGATGATTTACAATTATAAATATCATGTCCTTGAATAATGTAATACATTTTAAATACATAATTAAGCAATCCTAGATAGTTCAAAATTTACCCCTGTTGTAAACTGATCCAGCTAGCCATGGTAAAGTGACCCTGTGACCTTTGATAACCTTTATATTGAACTTTGACAAAACTTTATATAAAAGGTAACCGATTACTTATTTCTGCTTGTTTTCATATACTGAGACTTTTTCTCTGGAGAAACATTGATGTCATCTGATAACACCTATGTATATATATATAATCATCCCTGCTGTCGTCTTCATTTCCTTCATTATGTTCTACTTTGCTGCTTTCTGCTACGTCCCCATATTCTTCTGTCCCATCCTCAGTAAGATCGATCGTCTCATTTTGACACACATTTCTTGGTGTTCATAATTTGTCACAACTTAATTTGCTATACGATATGGAAATGAAAAGTTTGGTTTTAACGTTAAAAAGAATTTAGGACCAGTACGATATGTGACCTTTGGTGACCTGTCTATTGACATGAACACCTGCAGTATAATCATAATTAAATTTATGCAACTTCCAATGATATATAGTTGTGAGGGTTTAACGCAATAACCGCAGCCAAGACTAATGATACCAGATTCATGTTCCTGAGATCTTTACATGTAAAAAGTGTTAGCAGGAAAGAGATAATGAACTCCCACTGGGTATCCGTGATAATTACCCGATCTAACGGTCACGTGATCAGGTAATCATTTAGCGGTAAGCCCTATAGGATCTTTGCTTCCTTTTTGACTCCTTGGATCTGACCTCGGGATTCATCAATCACAGTGAACGTCTTCGAGTACAGATCTAGGATTTCGGGTTAGAGGGATGCATGTTTAAAAATGTTTTCTGACATTGTGTGCTGTCCCAATTGTTTTCTTTATATCTACATAATATGATGAATATAATCGTGGATTACCCCTTCAGGAAGTTTCTGATCCTAAATATCCAAGTGAAGGGGATTTCCAGAGATGCAAATTGATGTGAGGATGATAGGGAAGTTTGATTGTTGTCATACTGATCTCATTGGCAAAGTTTGTTTTTCCCTGTGCAAATTAGGATGTGTAGATTAAGCTAAGGTTTTTACGAACGAAAGGTTTATTTCAGTCGCCGCTTACACCAGACTCCCTAACACCGTCTGTTTTTGATTCCCGTCGCCGCTTACACCAGACTCCCAACACCGTCTTCTTTGGATTCACATCGGTGGTTACATCGCCCAATGGAGTTTCGTCGCCATTTGTTATAAAGTTTCATCGCCGTCTGTTCTGGGGTGTGATCATCTGGAGTCTCATTGTCACTTGTTTGAGAAGTTCATCGCCACTTATGTTTCTCGTAGATGAGTGCCAACACCGTTAGTATTAATAAACATTGAAATACTTGATTGAAAAATACATTTTGGACATCTTTTTGATGAGCGTTTTCTTACAAATCATGGAGTTCAAATAACGCTACCTTCACAGCCGAGAAGACAGCGTATTACTTAAAGCGATGCTGCTGTCCTATGTTTTCTTGACAAACAGAAACAAAAGTGTGACTTATTTTGGGAAGTGAATGTAACATGTTGTTCTATGTTCCAAAGATTCAAAGACATAACGATAGCGCAGGATTTTTTTTTTATTATTATTGTTTCCTATATACATATATAATCAATGGTTAAACCGTAATACAGCGAATACTGAGACCACAGATGGTATAAAAACACTTACGCAATCACTTGATGAGGCAAACATTAGAATTGAATTTCAGAAACAAAACTTTTGTTTCTAATACATGCAGTGAGATACATATGGATTATCGCGTTTCTAACATATCGTGTCTGCTGTCGGATATTGTTACAACTTTGTTTAAATGATAATCACACCAATTCAGTCTTTAGGTCAAAAAATGTATGTATCAGATTACATGCTTTTTATAGTATGACTCCGTGGTAGCCTATGACGTCATGATGCTGATGATGTAAAAAAAAAAAAAACAAACTTGGTAATTACAGAAAAACGCCAAACGATTGAGATTACTGAACACACGACCACGCCTGTGTTAACGTTGTTTCACTGTGATAATAATTTCGACATACATGTAGCGATACAATCCATTAATTACTAATTAATCAATTATAAACCTCAGTATTTTTTTTCATTCATTATGTTCCGATCAAGGTGATCACATATGTTCACACAAAGGATCATATTTTCACTTTTTCCTATGATCCACATTCCCTATACATTACACTATTCACGAAGATTGATATTTTTCCGATAAACTTGAGCTTTTGCCTTTGTTGAGTTGTTGAATGGAATCAAACACCAATGCCTTGTTAATTTGCCCTCGTTTGTTCTCTACCTGCTGATTTTGTCGGGCTAACTTCCTTTTAAGTACTCCAATAATAACAAAGGTAACAATATTGACAGTAAGAAGTACAGATACAATAATGACGTAGATTTTCCTGTGATGCAGGTATTTTTTGAAATAGTCATGACGGAACCACGAATGATGATGATGATGATGTTTTTCTTCGCTGCGCATATACTTGTGTCTGCGACCATTCTCTGTAATATATAGAAACGTGGTGAGATATTACTTTTGTGTGGTATCTGTTTACACTGTGGACGAGTTTGTTACCAGGTGTAGTAAAATAACATTAATATCTGTTTACACTGTGGACGAGATTGTTACCAGGTGTAGTAATATAACATTTATATCTGTTTACATTGTGGACGAGTTTGTTACCAGGTGTAGTAATATAACATTTATATCTGTTTACATTGTGGACGAGTTTGTTACCAGGTGTAGTAATATAACATTTATATCTGTTTACATTGTGGACGAGTTTGTTACCAGGTGTAGTAATATAACATTTATATCTGTTTACACTGTGGACGAGATTGTTACCAGGTGTAGTAATATAACATTTATATCTGTTTACATTGTGGACGAGTTTGTTACCAGGTGTAGTAATATAACATTTATATCTGTTTACATTGTGGACGAGTTTGTTACCAGGTGTAGTAATATAACATTTATATCTGTTTACATTGTGGACGAGTTTGTTACCAGGTGTAGTAATATAACATTTATATCTGTTTACATTGTGGACGAGTTTGTTACCAGGTGTAGTAATATAACATTTATATCTGTTTACATTGTGGACGAGTTTGTTACCAATTGAAGGGATATTACGTTTATATCTGTTTACACTGTGGACGAGTTTGTCACCAGGTGAAGGCATGGAACGTTTATATCTGAATATAGATTCGTTTTGTTTTATATAGAACATTACGCTGTATTCCTTACTTTTCACCCCAGCAGTTAACCTTTTGAACTCATCTTCAGAGAAATTGAAATCTCCACACGTCGGAAATCCTTCGGGGACTGGATTCATGTCCGAGGTTTCTCCCTCCTGCAACAGGACGGCCATCCCGGAGATCTGGTGCATCTCAATGTGACAATGCATAAACCAGTATCCTTAGAATAGAATCGTGAAAGGAATTTGTACAAAACACACACAAAATGAACAGCACCTTTTCAATACATCTTATGACTTTAGGACAGTCGAGCCAAATGATTAAACTACATTATGCAGCTGTTTTGGCCTTCTAGGATTCGTCAGTAATAATAAGTGCCTAAATCTGAAGCATAGGAGACTGAGGAAAATTGAAATTGTTCGAAAGAAAAGTAAAAATCTAGATGGGTAGGTGCACTAGACCTATAATTTAATCAATTTCGTTAATTTATATATCTGATAATTTAAGAGACTGGAACGTATATCAGTCTCCAACAAACAAACAAACCCAACGCTGCACGTGCTCTCACATCGCATACACAGAAATGAAATGTCCTCAGCTGTTGATAGGACGTTAAACAATGCAAAATCAAACAAAATCTACACTAAGGATTACTGATAATGACTTTATGTAACGATGAATTTAGGGACAATTAATGAATCATCTTAGTCCTAACACTGAAAAAACAATGGCTGCTAACCTGGGTTATCGGACCGGATGCGCGTCACGACATATCCCTTCCTTGGTACTATGATTGTATCCTTCATTGGCGGGTTATCAAGATTAAGCCCTGGAACGTTCCCTTGTTGCCAAGAGGTATTTCTCCAGTGCGGATTGTTACAACTTTGAGTGTTACACAAAATATCCGTATTTTCTTCCGCAATCTTTCCAGTTTCCGGGACATAGGTAGGGTACACAGTTTTCAACACGTGGAAGTGATGGCCGTGCATGTGGACGGGATGTGCCATTCCAAAAACTGCATCGTCTAAAAATAGATTTGTTTCTTTGAATTGAAAGAGTTCCCGACAGTGACCATCATGAAACTGATTACAGGTTCTCTGTAAGATGATATTACCAAAAAACTGGTGGAGATGGATGGGTGGTGGTACACTGGTGGAGATTGATGGGTGGTACACTGGTGGAGATGGATGGGTGGTACACTGGTGGAGATTGATGAGTGGTACACCGGTGGAAATTGATGGGTGGTACACCGGTGGAGATGGATGGGTGGTACACCGGTGGAGATGGATGAGTGGTACACTGGTGGAGACTGATGGGTGATACACTGGTGGAGACTGATGGGTGGTACACTGGTGGAGATGGATGGGTGGTACACTGGTGGAGATGGATGTGTGATACACTGGTGGAGATTGATGGGTGGTACACTGATGGAGATTGATGGGTGGTATACTGGTGGAGATTGATGGGTGTAGACTGATGGAGATGGATGGGTGGTACAGTGGTGGAGATTGATGGGTGGTACACTGGTGGAGATGGATGGGTGGTACACTGGAGGAGATTGATGGGTGGTACAGTGGTGGAGATTGATGGGTGGTAGACTGGTGGAGATTGATTGATGGTACACCGGTGGAGATGGATGGGTGGTACACCGGTGGACGTTAATCTGTATTGGAGCTTGATGGGCGGTACACTGGTGGAGATTGATGGGCGGTACACTGATGGAGATTGATGGGTGGTACACCGGTGGAGATGGATGGGTGGTAGAATGGAGGAGATTGATGGGTGGTACACAGGTGAAGATTGATTGGTGGTACACCGGTGGAGATGGATGGGTGGTACACTGGTGGAGATTGATGGGTGGTACACTGGTGGAGATGGATGGGTGGTACACTGGTGGAGATTGATGGGTGGTACACTGGTGGAGATGGATGGGTGGTACACTGGTGGGTGGTACACTGGTGGAGATGGATGGGTGGTACACTGGTGGAGATTGATGGGTGGTACAGTGGTGGAGATTGATGGGTGGTACAGCGGTGGAGATTGATGGGTGGTACACTGATGGAGATTGATGGGTGGTACACTGGTGGAGATTGATGGGTGGTACAGCGGTGGAGATTGATGGGTGGTACACTGATGGAGATTGATGGGTGGTACACTGGTGGAGATGGATGGGTGGTACACTGATTGAGATTGATGGGTGGTACACTGATGGAGATTGATGGGTGGTACAGTGGTGGAGATTGATGGGTGGTACACTGGTGGAGATTGATGAGTGGTACACGGGTGGTGATTTATTGGTGGTATACTGATGGAGATTGATGGGTGGTACACTGGTGGTGATTTATTGGTGGTACACTGGTGGAGATGGATGAGTGGTACACTGGTGGAGATGAATGGGTGGTACATTGGTGGAGATGGATGGTAGGTACACTGGTGGAGATGGATGGGTGGTACACTGGAGGAGATGGGTGGGTGGTACACTGGTGGTGATGGATTGATGGTACATGGGTGGAGATGGATTGGTGGTACACTAGTGGAGATTGATGGGTGGTACACTGGTGGAGATTGATGGGTGGTACACTAGTGGAGATTGATGGGTGGTACACCGGAAGACGTTAATTAGTATTGGAAATTGATGGGTGGTACACTTGTAGAATGTAATCTGTAGTGGAGATTAATGAGTGGAACAGCTGCTTGTTGATTCTAACCTTGTTTGAGGGAGACCCACGTTACAATTCTTAGACGTTAACCTTTATTCAAGAAACTTGAATGAGGAAAAAATCTAAATGTTTTAAACTCTAACCTTGATTGAGGAAGACAACCTGTATAGTTTTGCCTAGGTCAATCTTGATTTTGTAGGAACAGTGACAGTTGTCACTACAGTCCTCATCGTCACAAGAGGCATGTGTGTCGTTCCCCGTTGGGTAGATCTACAAACGGATACTTCTCACAGTCAATCAATAGTAGACATATTAAGTAAGAAAGGAAAATGGACAAAATTAAATGATTTGATAAGTGATGAAAACAAAAACAAAACATTCAAACAAAAATAACACAAAACAAATTAACAAACTACCAAACCCTGTTGTTGACAAAACGGTTACCACGAATTTCTTGATCATTGCGTTAATTTACACCATCATTTGGTATTATGTAGTAGGAGCATATATGATGTAATTTAGGCACTATTCTAACGGTAGCATTGAGCTAGGCATTATTCTAGTGGTAACATTGAGCTAGGCATTATTCTAATGGTAACATTGAGCTAGGCATTATTCTAGTGGTAACATTGAGCTAGGCATTATTCTAGTGGTAACATTGAGCTAGGCATTATTCTAGTGGTAACATTGAGCTAGGCATTATTCTAATGGTAGCATTGACCTAGTAATTATTTTATTGGTAGCATTGACCTAGTAATTATTAGCACTGAGTGAGGAGTAGTTCTAATGACAACATCGAGTTAGGAATAATTCTAATGACTACATTTATTTTACCTGTGGTGGGGCCAAGAAAGGGATAAATATAGATATATGATGTACGTTACCTGTGGTGGGGTCAAGAAAGGGATAAATATAGATATATGATGTACGTTACCTGTGGTGGGGCGGAGAAAGGGATAAATATAGATATATGATGTACGTTACCTGTGGTGGGGCGGAGAAAGGGATAAATATAGATATATGATGTACGTTACCTGTGGTGGGGCGGAGAAAGGGATAAATATAGATATATGATGTTCGTTACCTGTGGTGGGGCGGAGAAGGGGATAAATGTAGTTATATAATGTACGTTACCTGTGGTGGGGCCAAGAAGGGGATAAATAAAGATATATGATATACGTTACCTGTGGTGGGGCCAAGAAAGGGATAAATATAGATATAAGATGTACGTTACCTGTGGTGGGGCGGAGAAAGGGATAAATATAGATATATGATGTACGTTACCTGTGGTGGGGCGGAGAAGGGGATAAATATAGATATATGATGTACGTTACCTGTGGTGGGGCGGAGAAGGGGATAAATATAGATATATGATGTACGTTACCTGTGGTGGGGCGGAGAAGGGGATAAATATAGATATATGATGTACGTTACCTGTGGTGGGGCGGAGAAGGGGATAAATATAGATATATGATGTACGTTACCTGTGAGAAGGGGATAAATATAGATATATAATGTACGTTACCTGTGGTGGGGCGGAGAAGGGGATAAATATAGATATATGATGTACGTTACCTGTGGTGGGGCGGAGAAGGGGATAAATATAGATATATGATGTACGTTACCTGTGGTGGGGCGGAGAAAGGGATAAATATAGATATATGATGTACGTTACCTGTGGTGGGGCGGAGAAGGGGATAAATATAGATATATGATGTACATTACCTGTGGTGGGGCGGAGAAAGGGATGTATTTATGACCATTCACGGAAGCAGTAAATGGGACATCCGCCCCGGCTGTAAATATACAAGAAAATATTTACACTGCAGAAAAAAAACGGTAAAAATTTGAACACATATTTTAAAAAAAGATATTTCACTTCAAAAATTAGACTGGCTCCTGTCATAAATTACATAACATGTATAACTAATTCCTGAAAAGAATTCTACTCACATGAAAAGTGGAAATTGACGAATATTTCATCGAATTCCTCTGTTGATTCAGCGGAAGGAACTGGATGAGATTCCATTTGTTCAGCAGTGGATTTTAAGTCTGATATGGGCATACATTCGCGGTTATAGTTGTCAGGAAACTGTCTGTAAATATCACCATAGTTTTACATTTATAGTCTACACTGTATCGTAATGCTGTATTTAGTCTACACTCTATCGTAATCCTGTATTGAGTTTACACTGAAGCGTAATCCTGTGTTAAGTCTACACTGTATCATAATCCTGTGTTAAGTCTACACTGTATCGTAATCCTGTAATTAGTCTACACTGTATCATAATCCTGTGTTAAGTCTACACTGTATCATAATCCTGTGTTAAGTCTACACTGTATCGTAATCCTGTGTTAAGTCTACACTGTATCATAATCCTGTGTTAAGTCTACACTGTATCGTAATGCTGTGTTAAATCTACACTGTATCATAATCCTGTGTTAAGTCTACACTGTATCGTAATCCTGTGTTAAGTCTACACTGTATCGTAATCCTGTGTTAAGTCTACACTGTATCGTAATCCTGTGTTAAGTCTACACTGTATCATAATCCTGTGTTAAGTCTACACTGTATCATAATCCTGTGTTAAGTCTACACTGTATCATAATCCTGTATTTTGTTTCCTCTTTTTCGAACTCTGTATATATGTTTGCAAGAAGATGTCTGTTGTTTGTTTTGGTAAATTAATCATGCATATCGACAAACCCCAAATCAGTTTGCCTCGTTTGAATCCATTTGAATAGTTGAAGGGTTCAGATTATACACGTGCCAGACATATAACAATTGCTAAGATGATCAGAGCAAGTGGAACTCCCCACTAAGATTTTGACATATTTTTCCGGATCACTTTGGATTTTCCTCCTCTTTTGAATAAAAAAAACTTAGGCTCTCACTAGGCATCAGTGACGAGTCATAGAAGGACGAAACTGCTGTGTGATGCAGAGGAGTTCCAGAAACCTCACTAGAGTGTCTAACTTAGCTAGTGCATGCTTACAGGATATGACGTCAGTAAGGAAATGCATCGAGAAAATTTCACAAGAAAATAATTATGATGTTTTTCTTCACGAAGGATGACGTTACTATGAAAAGGAAAAGGGAATATGTGTTCAAGGGACCTATCGCGATGGTTGTCTTCACGCGCTTTTGTCGACGTAGGCGGGGATAAGTATCTAGTGGTGGTCGAGGTGTTGAAGTACTTACCCAAATGGACAGTTTATCACCCGACACGGATCTTCTTTCGTACATTCTGCTCTCTCTGTGGTCGGCGGGTCATCGCTAGCATTCGAGTAATGGAGGATAGCAAACGCCTTACCCGGGACTACTTCCTGAAATTGTAATATCATGGCGGAGTAATACAATGTGGAGAAATACTGACAAACAAAGCATAACAGCGATGAATTCAGTTGACATGCTATTTTTCATCATATTTTCATATCAATATTGAGACAATAGAATCAGAATCGAGCTTACTTTGGGAACGCCAACGGAAAATGTGTAATTTACGAAACCTCTCTAACGCCAGTGACCTCTAACGTTTCCCTGGTAACGATACAACCTCTCTACTGGCAGTGACCTCTGACGTTTCCCTGGTAACGATACAACCTCTCTACTGACAGTGACCTGTAACTTTTCCTTGGTAACGATATAACCTCTCTACTGACAGTGACCTCTAATGTTTTGCCTGGTAACGATACAACCTCTCTACTAACAGTGACCTCTAACGTTTCCCTGGTAACGATACAACCTCTCTACTGGCAGTGACCTCTGACGTTTCCCTGGTAACAATACAACCTCTCTACTGACAGTGACCTGTAACTTTTCCTTGGTAATGATATAACCTCTCTACTGACTGTGACCTCTAATGTTTTGCCTGGTAACAATACAACCTCTCTACTGACAGTGACCTGTAACTTTTCCTTGGTAACGATACATCCTCTCTACTGGCACTGAACTCTAACGTCTCTCTGGTAACGATACAACCTCTCTACTGACAGTGACCTCTAACGTCTCTCTGGTAACGATACAACCTCTCTACTGACAGTGATATCTAACGTCTCTCTGGTAACGATACAACCTCTCTACTGACACTGACCATTAACGTCTCTCTGGTAACGATACAACCTCTCTGCTGACACTGACCATTAACGTCTCTCTGGTAACGATACAACCTCTCTACTGACAGTGACCTCTAACGCCTCTCTGGTAACGATACAACCTCTCTACTGACAGTGACCATTAACGTCTCTCTGGTAACGATACAACCTCTCTGCTGACAGTGACCTCTAACGTCTCTCTGGTAACGATACAACCTCTCTGCTGACAGTGACCTCTAACGTCTCTCTGGTAACGATACAACCTCTCTGCTGACAGTGACCTCTAACGTATCTCTGGTAACGATACAACCATTCAACCCTCATGTTGAAAATGATGTACCTCTCCGTTAGCAGTAGCCTCTAATGTTTCCCCTCGAATCCAGTAATTTTTCTGTTCTGCGCCTGCGTAGAGAACAATATCGACACGCTCTCCGGTATTAATAATGATCGACTCTGCCGCCGTTGTAATGACGTCATTTCCGTCCACTGCAATAACTTGTACATCGTGCTGTGAATAAGACAATTTAACTAAAAATACAAAACATGAGCGGGAAACATGCACAATGAAATTTTAAATCACTTCATTAAAGTGGTTTTATCAGTTTTATTTACTTTAGCAGTACTACCTCCCGCTTATCGCGTGGGATGTCGTTTGGTATTTTTAGAACGCCACAGGTTCTCGTCAGGATGCCACAGAGCTCTGTCAAGGGAAAACGATAGCTCAGTCAATTAGAATATTGGCCTTTGAAACATCAGATGAAGATCTGAGGTGAGAAGTTCGGCGCTCCCTACACACGGAGATTTGTGTTTCTCATGAAACTGAGAAACGGACAAGTCTTTGCTGACTTGGTATGCTTTGCAGTGATGTATACAAGAAAATCCGGTCCCAAATTGACTGGCTGTTCACAGGACGACAAACCCCATCAGAACGGCACAGAGTCCTGACAGAAATAATGAAGTGTATTTAAACTGATTTACAATAAAAGTGATTCAATAACGTGATAATTTAATACCTGATCAAAAGAAAACCGGAAGGCAAACAACATCCCGGCATTGACCAACCGGAACCGGTAGTAGGAGTTCCTCTTAACCTCGAAGGTCTCAAGAGGTAGCGCCTCGATGTCACCGTCGATTGAATTATGGAAGGTGTGGCCTAATTTGGTGATAAATAATATTTTACATAAGATGTTAAACTCATACTATATTTAACAAAGTGTGAAAAGAAAGAACTGACGTTAAATTATCGCGTGTGATGGAAATATCGATTTATATGAACACATCGATACTAACTCTTGGAAATTTGAACGCAAAAAAAAAATAAATAAAATCCCATATTAAGGAAACTTAACGACGGAAGATTGAACACAAAGCACAAAGCGCATTTATTGCAAAGGATTGTGGGACACCACAAAAATTCAAGGAGACAAAGAAGGAAGGAAAGCACTATTTTAAATTTTTTAAAAAGTTTTATAAGGATTAATTATCAATAATCAAACTTATATTCTACTTGATTTAGTTCGGGATAACGTCTGGTTGTTTGGTGTGTTTGTATGTAAAGCTGTTTGGTGTGTTTGTGTAGTAGGCTGTTTGGTGTGGTTGTATGGTAGGCTGTTTGGTGTGGTTGTATGGTAGGCTGTTTGGTGTGGTTGTATGGTAGGCTGTTTGGTGTGGTTGTATGGTAGGCTGTTTGGTGTGTTTGTGTGGTAGGCTGTTTGGTGTGGTTGTATGGTAGGCTATTTGGTGTGTTTTTGTGGTAGGCTGTTTGGTGTGGTTGTATGGTAGGCTGTTTGGTGTGTTTGTATGGTAGGCTGTTTGGTGTGGTTGTATGGTAGGCTATTTGGTGTGTTTGTATGTAAGGCTGTTTGGTGTGGTTGTATGGTAGGCTGTTTGGTGTGGTTGTATGGTAGGCTGTGTGGTGTGGTTGTATGTAAGGCTGTTTGATGTGTTGTATGGTAGGCTGTTTGGTGTGGTTGTATGGTAGGCTGTTTGGTGTGTTTGTATGTAAGGCTGTTTGGTGTGGTTGTATGTAAGGCTGTTTCGTGTGATTGTATGTAAGGCTGTTTTGTGTGGTTGTATGGTAGGCTGTTTGGTGTGGTTGTGTGGTTAGCTGTTTTTTTTTGTGTTTGCGTATTAGGCTGTTTGGTGTGGTTGTATGGTAGGCTGTTTGGTGTGGTTGTATGGTAGGCTGTTTGGTGTGGTTGTGTGTGAGGCTGTTTGGTGTGGTTGTATGGTAGGCTGTTTGGTGTGGTTGTGTGTGAGGCTGTTTGGTGTGGTTGTATGGTAGGCTGTTTGATGTGTTGTATGGTAGGCTGTTTGGTGTGGTTGTATGGTAGGCTGTTTGGTGTGGTTGTGTGTGAGGCTGTTTGGTGTGGTTGTATGGCAGGCTGTTTGATGTGTTGTATGGTAGGCTGTTTGGTGTTGTTGTATGGTAGGCTGTTTGGTGTGGATGTGTGTGAGGCTGTTTGGTGTGTTTGTATGTAAGGCTGTTTGGTGTTGTTGTATGGTAGGCTGTTTGGTGTGGTTGTATGGTAGGCTGTTTGGTATGTTTGTATGGTAGGCTGTTTGGTATGTTTGTATGGTAGGCTGTTTGGTGTGGTTGTATGGTAGACTGTTTGGTGTTTTTGTCCTATTGAATACAGGCTCACCTTTTCCATTAGATGCTATCTTTGAGTGTAACTCACCTTTTGTGGTTGCCATATGAGTAGCTGAAAATGTGGTGATTACCCACACCAGGTCCTGTCTGTACTTGCGTTGTAGGTGTAACATTGGGTAAAACTCACCTTCGTCACCAGGATTACCCATATGAGTAGCTGAAAATGTACATTGGATTACCTCAATCTACCAGGTCCTGTTACCTCATATCTTGTACCAGGTACCTTCACTACCATAAAGCAATACACCATTGGATTACCTCAATCTACCAGGTCCTGTTACCTCAATCTACCAGGTCCTCTTATCACCATTGGATTACCTCAATCTACCAGGTCCTGTTATCTCAATCTACCAGGTCCTCTTATCACCATTGGATTACCTCAATCTACCAGGTCCTGTTACCTCGGTTTGTACGTTTGTTACCTTCACTACCCCATAAAGCAATCTACCAGGTCCTGTTACCTCGGTTTGTACGTTTGTTACCTTCACTACCCCATAAAGCAATCTACCAGGTCCTGTTACCTCGGTTTGTACGTTTGTTACCCTCACTACCCCATAAAGCAATCTACCAGGTCCTGTTACCTCGGTTTGTACGTTTGTTACCTTCACTACCCCATAAAGCAATCTACCAGGTCCTGTTACCTCGGTTTGTACGATTGTTACCTTGACTACCCCATAAAGCAATCTACCAGGTCCTGTTACCTCGGTTTGTACGTTTGTTACCTTCACTACCCCATAAAGCAATCTACCAGGTCCTGTTACCTCGGTTTGTACGTTTGTTACCTTCACTACCCCATAAAGCAATCTACCAGGTCCTGTTACCTCGGTTTGTACGTTTGTTACCTTCACTACCCCATAAAGCAATCTACCAGGTCCTGTTACCTCGGTTTGTACGTTTGTTACCTTCACTACCCCATAAAGCAATCTACCAGGTCCTGTTACCTCGGTTTGTACGTTTGTTACCTTCACTACCCCATAAAGCAATCTACCAGGTCCTGTTACCTCGGTTTGTACGTTTGTTACCTTGACTACCCCATAAAGCAATCTACCAGGTCCTGTTACCTCGGTTTGTACGTTTGTTACCTTCACTACCCCATAAAGCAATCTACCAGGTCCTGTTACCTCGGTTTGTACGTTTGTTACCTTCACTACCCCATAAAGCAATCTACCAGGTCCTGTTACCTCGGTTTGTACGTTTGTTACCTTGACTACCCCATAAAGCAATCTACCAGGTCCTGTTACCTCGGTTTGTACGTTTGTTACCTTCACTACCCCATAAAGCAATCTACCAGGTCCTGTTACCTCGGTTTGTACGTTTGTTACCTTCACTACCCCATAAAGCAATCTACCAGGTCCTGTTACCTCGGTTTGTACGTTTGTTACCTTCACTACCCATAAAGCAATCTACCAGGTCCTGTTACCTCGGTTTGTACGTTTGTTACCTTCACTACCCCATAAAGCAATCTACCAGGTCCTGTTACCTCGGTTTGTACGTTTGTTACCTTCACTACCCCATAAAGCAATCTACCAGACAAATGTTTTGACATAAGCTTTTAAAATTTTCTTTGAGAAACGTGACTGTATACAAGGTGGGTAATGATAAGCTTGTATTTCAGCAAACTTCATTGGAAATAGAATATCCTTTTATGTCTTCTCATGATACAAATCGCTGCGGTCCTGAACAGTGTAAAATAAGTCTCCATTTTACAAAAACACATCTACTTGCCTCGTGAGACCCCAATCCAATTCCCTGTTGATTTCAATGGAATGGAACGGAAACCAATCGTGTAGAAATACAACGTAGTCCTTGTCAAATTCGTACTCGCCAATTCGATTTTTCTGTCAAATGTTAACACATTGATAGTTCAGTTAAATTTGTCGTCAGATGCTTCACCATTCACTGTATCGTTCGGATTGGTGGATTTTGTGCGGGTTTGTGTGCCAAATTATCAGCATTATAATATTATCAAAGACAGAGCTGGTTCTTTTCAAATATAAAATTCGGGAAAAAAATAAACAAAACAAAAACACAAAACAAAACAAAAAACTTACAAAAAAAAATTTTTTTTAAATAAAGAAAAAAGAAAAAACGAACCTCTGGCTCTGGCCTTGGTAAAACAATGAGAGCCCCGGCTAGACCGTCAGTACGCTCAACTCCCAGATGAGAATGATACCAGTGAGTTCCACGAGGATCGGCCATCCACCTACGTCATAAACACACACGTCACAGGTACAGGTCATAGGTCAAATGAATGGAAACTCTAGGATCCAAGATTGGAAAATGAAATGTGAATCTAAGGTAGCAGGAAACAGTTTATTTGCATTTTTCCTGAAATTTTTGGTCATGTTTGAAATATACAGGCATAGCAGATTGGTTATGAAAAATACATCATTACATGTATATATGTTTATAAACTACACAACCATTACATTAACAGTAGAGAGATGAAATTTGTGTAAAAAGAAAATTTCCTCTGATTTCTGACATTTGATTGTCATGGTTACCTACTGAAAAAATGCTAAAAATGCAAAAATACTGCTAATTCCAACCTAACACTACAACTTTCTAGAAGAAATTTAATTCTGAACACCTATCTTAAAATCAACAACACTGTCGTGGTAACAAAGTTCTTATATTTCAGCAAATTCCAACTCGGAAATCCTTCATAACATGACCACGTGTAAAGACTATGAAAAATTCACTTCCTGTAAAGCTAGATTTTGGTGCGTAGACAAAGATTCGAGACTGCCCAAATAGTAATCTCCAACACAAAGCTAAAATATTATTCCGAAAAAAATGAAACCCCACGTTATCCACTTTAACATGACAGGACCAATTTTAGAAAGGATTTATTTTTTCAATTTTAAATTAATTAAAACCTTTACAGTGGGGTAATCTAATGAACAAACTGTGTACTGCTACCTTAATATGATTATTAAAAAAAGTAGCTTTGCGATTTCATAATTTTGCAGTTGTTAAATTGTACAGAATAGAATTTAGAGTCTGAGACAAACGATTACAATCATTTTAATGAGGTCAAGGATATTTACAATTATATTTGTGTCAATATCAGAAGTTGTCCTAAATTTCAATACTTGAAGATGCTTACAATCTTAAAATTGTTCCAGTCAAAAGCAAGAAAACAACTTTTGTGACAAACTATCAATTTTCTTTTTGGTTTCACAAAATATTATTTTGGGAGTATACACACTTCGATTGTTATTCTATAAGGTAACGAATAGAATCGGCCGCTACTACAATGCTTCCATTTCAATTTGTTTGCTATGTTTTATTTATCTTTAAAGTAACAGCGATTCAAAACAGGCATCAATTCTGAATTTTATCATCAGCCAAGGGACATTCTACTGTTAGCATTTACAGTTTCAAATAGTTTAATATTATTGTACCACTATGTCAGTTTAAGAACCACAAGATGTCTTTTCTAAAAAAAGTATTCCGAAATTTAAAATATGACTGGTGAAACTGAAAACATGTTTATTTAATGAATTCATAGAAAAAAGAACCAAGATTATTCTTTCCTGTTACCACAAATATTCTCTGCTGTTACTCGATATCTTCTGTGTTGTTACCACGAAAGCTCTCTATGTTACTCGGTATCTACTGTGTTGTAACCACGAAAGCTCTATGCTGTTACTCGGTATCTTATGTGTTGTTACCTCGAAAGCTCTCTATGTTACTCGGTATCTTCTGTGTTGTTACCACGAAAGCTCTCTATGTTACTCGGTATCTTCTGTGTTGTTACCACGAAAGCTCTCTATATTACTCGGTATCTTCTGTGTTGTTACCACGAAAGCTCTCTATGTTACTCGGTATCTTCTGTGTTGTTACCACGAAAGTTCTCTATGTTACTCGGTATCTTCTGTGTTGTTACCACGAAAGCTCTCTATGTTACTCGGTATCTTCTGTGTTGTTACCACGAAAGATCTCTGCTGTTACTCGGAATCTTCTGTGTTGTTACCACGAATGCTCTCTATGTACTCGGTATCTTCTGTGTTGTTACCACGAAAGCTCTCTATGTTGCTCGGTATCTTCTGTGTTGTTACCACGAAAGCTCTCTATGTACTCGGTATCTTCTGTGTTGTTACCACGAAAGCTCTCTATGTTACTCGGTATCTTCTGTGTTGTTAACACGAAAGATCTCTGCTGTTACTCGGAATCTTCTGTGTTGTTACCACGAATGCTCTCTATGTACTCGGTATCTTCTGTGTTGTTACCACGAAAGTTCTCTATGGTACTCGGTATCTTCTGTGTTGTTACCACGAAAGCTCTGTGCTGTTACTCGGTATCTTCTGTCTTGTTACCACGAAAGATCTCTGCTGTTACTCGGAATCTACTGTGTTGTTACCACGAAAGCTCTCTATGTTACGCGGTAGCTTCTGTGTTGTTACCACGAAAGATCTCTATGTTACTCGGTATCTTCTGTGTTGTTACCACGAAAGTTCTCTATGTTACTCGGTATCTTCTGTGTTGTTACCACGAAAGCTCTCTATGTTACTCGGTATCTTCTGTGTTGTTACCACGAAAGATCTCTGCTGTTACTCGGTATCTTCTGTCTTGTTACCACGAAAGATCTCTGCTGTTACTCGGAATCTTCTGTGTTATTACCACGAAAGCTCTGTGCTGTTACTCGGTATCTTCTGTGTTGTTACCACGAAAGCTCTCTATGTTACTCGGTATCTTCTGTGTTGTTACCATGAAAGCTCTCTATGTTACTCGGTATCTTCTGTGTTGTTACCACGCAAGCTCTCTATGTTACTCGGTATCTTCTGTGTTGTTACCACGAAAGCTCTCTATGTTACTCGGTATCTTCTGTGTTGTTACCACGAAAGATCTCTGCTGTTACTCGGAATCTTCTGTGTTGTTACCACGAATGCTCTCTATGTACTCGGTATCTTCTGTGTTGTTACCACGAAAGCTCTCTATGTTGCTCGGTATCTTCTGTGTTGTTACCACGAAAGCTCTCTATGTACTCGGTATCTTCTGTGTTGTTACCACGAAAGCTCTCTATGTTACTCGGTATCTTCTGTGTTGTTAACACGAAAGATCTCTGCTGTTACTCGGAATCTTCTGTGTTGTTACCACGAACGAAAGTTCTCTATGGTACTCGGTATCTTCTGTGTTGTTACCACGAAAGCTCCCTTGTTACCACGAAAGATCTCTGCTGTTACTCGGAATCTTCTGTGTTGTTACCACGAAAGCTCTCTATGTTACTCGGTATCTTCTGTGTTGTTACCACGAAAGATCTCTATGTTACTCGGTATCTTCTGTGTTGTTACCACGAAAGCTGTCTTTGTTACTCGGTATCTTCTGTCTTGTTACCACGAAAGCTCTCTATGTTACTCGGTATCTTCTGTCTTGTTACCACGAAAGATCTCTGCTGTTACTCGGAATCTTCTGTGTTATTACCACGAAAGCTCTGTGCTGTTACTCGGTATCTTCTGTGTTGTTACCACGAAAGCTCTCTATGTTACTCGGTATCTTCTGTGTTGTTACCATGAAAGCTCTCTATGTTACTCGGTATCTTCTGTGTTGTTACCACGAAAGCTCTCTATGTTACTCGGTATCTTCTGTGTTGTTACCACGAAAGTTCTCTATGTTACTCGGTATCTTCTGTGTTGTTACCACGAAAGCTCTCTATGTTACTCGGTATCTTCTGTGTTGTTACCACGAAAGATCTCTGCTGTTACTCGGAATCTTCTGTGTTGTTACCACGAATGCTCTCTATGTACTCGGTATCTTCTGTGTTGTTACCACGAAAGCTCTCTATGTTACTCGGTATCTTCTGTGTTGTTAACACGAAAGATCTCTGCTGTTACTCGGAATCTTCTGTGTTGTTACCACGAATGCTCTCTATGTACTCGGTATCTTCTGTGTTGTTACCACGAAAGTTCTCTATGGTACTCGGTATCTTCTGTGTTGTTACCACGAAAGCTCTCTATGTTACTCGGTATCTTCTGTCTTGTTACCACGAAAGATCTCTGCTGTTACTCGGAATCTACTGTGTTGTTACCACGAAAGCTCTCTATGTTACGCGGTAGCTTCTGTGTTGTTACCACGAAAGCTCTCTATGTTACTCAGTATCTACTGTGTTGTTACCACGAAAGCTCTCTATGTTACTCGGTAGCTTCTGTGTTGTTACCACGAAAGTTCTCTATGGTACTCGGTATCTTCTGTGTTGTTACCACGAAAGCTCTGTGCTGTTACTCGGTATCTTCTGTCTTGTTACCACGAAAGATCTCTGCTGTTACTCGGAATCTTCTGTGTTATTACCACGAAAGCTCTGTGCTGTTACTCGGTATCTTCTGTGTTGTTACCACGAATGCTCTCTATGTTACTCGGTATCTTCTGTGTTGTTACCACGAAAGCTCTCTATGTTACTCGGTATCTTCTGTGTTGTTACCACGAAAGCTCTCTATGTTACTCGGTATCTTCTGTGTTGTTACCACGAAAGCTCTCTATGTTACTCGGTATCTTCTGTGTTGTTACCACGAAAGATCTCTTTTATTCATAATCTTCTGTGTTGTTACCACGAAAGCTCTCTATGTTACTCGGTATCTTCTGTGTTGTTACCACGAAAGTTCTCTATGTTACTCGGTATCTTCTGTGTTGTTACCACGAAAGCTCCCTATGTTACTCGGTATCTTCTGTGTTGTTACCACGAAAGCTCTCTATGTTACTCGGTATCTTCTGTGTTGTTACCACGAAAGCTCTCTATGTTACTCGGTATCTTCTGTGTTGTTACCACGAATGCTCTCTATGTTACTCGGTATCTTCTGTGTTGTTACCACGAAAGCTCGCTATGTTACTCGGTATCTTCTGTGTTGTTACCACGAAAGCTATGTGCTGTTACTCGGTATCTTCTGTGTTGTTACCACGAAAGCCCTCTATGTATTCGGTATCTTCTGTGTTGTTACCACGAAAGCTCTGTGTTGTTACCACGAAAGCTCTGTGCTGTTACTCGGAATCTTCTGTGTTGTTACCACGAAAGCTCTGTGCTGTTACTCGGTATCTTCTGTGTTGTTACCACGAAAGATCTCTGCTGTTACTCGGAATCTACTGTGTTGTTACCACGAACGCTCTCTATGTTACTTGGTATCTACTGTGTTGTTACCACGAAAGCTGTCTTTGTTACTCGGTATCTTCTGTGTTGTTACCACGAAAGCTCTCTATGTTACTCGGTAT